CTGTAGCAGTCTGTCTTGTTGTGGCCTAATGCAGTCACATGCATTTTCTACTCAGGGCAAAAGTGCAGAGAGATTTGCTCCGTGTCTGGGGTGTATCCATCCAGCTCTGCAGCTGGTGTGTCTGTGGTGAGAGAGGCATGTGGAGTGAAGGATGCACTGTGGCTATGTCAGCTGTGTGAGAGCAAGCAGTTTTTGGCTCTTGCCATTCTGACTTTGGAGCCTTCTGTAATTCCTGTACGTGTGAGTGAGCATTGCTCTTTTTGTTGCTAGCAACTGCCTTCCCTGACAGCTCCAAACAAAAAAAGCTTAAAATAGCTATCTAGGAGCTTACAATTAGAAGAACAATTAACCCGTTTCCAGTGGGAAAGCATAGGACGTTCCTGTAACTTTACAAAGACTGGAAGCAGTGGTTCCTATTCCTTAATTGCTCTCTCTGCTCTCTGAGTCTGCTTGAAGTATTCAGGTCATGGTATTTGTCATGATGATGGATTATAATTAATATTCCAAACTTCAGTACAGTTTATAAATATTAACTAATTTTAGAATGTGCTCTGTATATATTTTGTTAAAGTGTAATTCTGCACTGTGTTTTAAAGCCATTTGTAAAGAAGGGCTTTCCTGCATTCTTGTTTATAAAAGTCTGGTTTATGTGGCTGTCTCTTTCTGATAGTTCTTTCCAAGTGTCATTACAATGCAAGATGACAGCTAAGAGTCTGCTGCAAATCATGGATCTTTAGTTTTCTCAAGGTGAGTGTTGGGCAAAACTTCTGTTGTTTTGGAAATAGCAGTGCAACTTTTGCTTGGATAAATTAAATTGAGAAACTGATTTGTATTCAGTGTAATTCCTTTTCAAGAGCTGCTAGAAACAACATTGTCAATTCCTTTAAAAGTAGATCAGATTTTTTTTTTCCCTTTCATACTTTAAGTTTTACATCTATTAAGTTTTAGAACTCTGCTCTGTTTCTTTAATAGTTGTCTTTCCTCATCCATGTGATTTGGATCTGGTGGAGCTGTTTGTGTATGCCCGTAAGGACAAAATAATAACCAGCTTTTAATAGATATTTTCTTTGTAATGCTTTTTTGTATATATCTTTTTTATCTTCTTAAAACAAAACTACATGGAAAATCACAGAGATTGAAAAACAATCCTCCAAAACTTGTGCAGAGTTTATAGCTTGTACTGAGGAGGGCAACCCAAACCATGGGTTATTTTTATCAGGTTCCTTGAAGATGCAGAACTCCCTCCTAATATAACTGTTATCTGAAAATTTCTTTTTGAGATGCATCCATGGTGCTTCAAAACCTCGTAATTAAAATCAATTACGTTCTTCTCTGTAGCATACTGTGCAGCTGAACACATCAATACGCTTAGTTGGAGAGTGGAAAATTATGTCCTTATGTGTAAGTGGTAGGCCAAAATATATTCAGAATGTGAACTTTAGGAACATTCAAACATAAAGGAAAGGCTGCTCAATGAAATAATGTTCCTGAGAACTTGTTTTCACTGCCTCTCCAAATCTCTACCACGCTTTAGTGCAATAGACTAGAATGTTTTACTTTAGTAGGATTTGTATTTCTCCTTGGTTTGGTGTAGTTAGTACCTTCTTCTTAAACGTGTGCATTTTTCCCCAAAAATGTGGCAATTATACATTTTGCATTGTTTCATTCACTGCAGGTAATTAACTTATGATGCTGTGTCTGGGATGGTGTAAATAGCATCAGCAGTTCATCACATAAGGTGGTGTAATACCTGCTACCTGATCTTCCTTCAGTACAGCCATTCTCTCCTCTGCTTCATGTCACAAAGCTAATGGATTTCACTTCTGAATGCCTGCTGACTGATTTAATGTATATTTATCAGTTCCCAGCCTCTGATAACGGGAAAGTGGAAATACTAGCAAAGTCATTTTAACTGTGCTGTGCCAGAGGAAGTTGGTCACAGCTTTCACCTTCCTCTGCAATAGAAATGGACCAATTACATGAAAACTTGCATTGTCCATGGAAGGCTTCAGCATGTCTATTCGTTTGGGCATGTTTGTGCTAGTCCCAGGCAGACACCTTCAAGCAATGGTGAAAATTCTCAAGCTCCCTGGATTATTTTTTTCCTTTTTGTTATTGTCTGTCTGTGAAGCCATTTTCCTTTGATCCCTTGGTCCCAGTTAAGGGCAAGCTGTAAAGCATTCATTTTTTTGCTATACTATTATGTTTGAACAAGTAAGCCTTCCCATTTCCCAGGGCAATATTGATTTTCAGGACTTCCATCTATTACAGTTCTTTAGATTAGTCTCTTATCAGGAAGGATGGAGTAATTGGTACTTGGCTTATTGCTGTCATCTTTTAAACTGGAGACTGTTCAATTGGTTGGTTTTGCTTGTGCACTTTGAGCTTCAGTTGCTGCTCTTCTGTGGTGCTAGACTCCTGGAAAACATGCCTTTCACTGTAGGGACAGGCTTTCCAGTCATCTGTGGAAAATGCCCTACTGTATAAAGCACACTGAAGGGGACATAAAACCATCTTTCTCCATTTACCTTTTTGGCTTTCTTGAACTAGCTTTCTTGTTACTCTGTTGCTTTCAGCCTTTTCCTCCCTGTATCTATCAGGTAGATTGCTATACTTTGCTGTATTGAGTTTACAAGCAAGGTCTATTTTCTACTTTCCCTTGCTCCCTCCTAGGGCAATCTGTAGGAAAGCTGTGCTGTTACCCTTCCAGCTGAAGGTGTCTGAAGGTGGTGAGTGGGAGGCTGCAAACAATCTGTAGGAATTCTGATGCTGTTGTCTGAAAGAAAATGTGACAAAGTACATGTGTGGGAGAGGCTTCTGAGAGAGAGATTGAAGCTGTTTTCATATGCATAGGACATGGACAAGCTGTGCAAAAGCTTTGCAAATCCTCTACCAAACACAAAAACTGTCCCATATTTTCATCACTTCCTTGGTTCTTACCCAAGACTGTTGCAATTTGTGGCAGTTTGATAGAGGCCAATTTGTGTTTGCTGGAAAAAGTTCTTGTTTCTTATATGCCATAAATCTCCAGTCATTTAAAAACATTAAAAACCAACCAAACTAACAAAACAAAACAAAAAAAAAACACAAAAAAAAACAACAAAACAAACAGCAACAAAACCCACTCACTGAATTATTTCTGTCCTGCTATTGCACTGGAGGAATTCCATTTTCTTTGCCTTTACTGGGTGAATGTAAGTAGCTCATCCTATTCTTAACCTTCCTTACCCTTCTTGGTATGGAGGGGGACTGATAACTAGTATTCTATATTTTGTTCTTGATCTGTTTTTGTCCTGGTTTGTTGTGTGATCTTGGAAGTAAGTTCTTTCCCCTCTGTTCCTCAATGGTAAAATGTGTGTTACGATTTTTACCTGTTTAAGAAATATTGGATTTGATTATATGATGAGCAAGTTCAAGGGGGACTGCTAGATTGCTCTTTCAGGACACTGGCTAGCTTGCTACATTCGACTTAAATGCAGCAGTTATTCTTGGAATCTGTTAATTAACATTAAGTAATTGAGCTTTCTAAGGGGAGGTCAGTAATTTGAGTTGCTGGCAGCAGGAGGGTTTTGTTTAGGGGAAATGATCTCATTGCTCTAATTCAACAGATTCCCTGCAAGATCTCACTGTTGTGAGCAAGGCTGAAAATGTACATTAGCTAACACTTGTGAACGTTTTTTGTTTATCACATTAAAAAATATATAATGGGAATACTTAAAAGCTAGAATTGTAGTGGTGAAACAGAAAATGCTTTCCACAATTCATTATAATTTTCTGCTTGCTTAGCTTTTTCAAGGTTTGAGGTGAAATCAGTCTTTCCAAAGTCGTTTCTACCATTCTCTGTCAGAAAATATTGCCTGCAAACAATGCCAAAAGACATTAGGAATCTGCACAATATAATTTGCTTATCATGCCAAGTGTAGGGGGTGTGAGAGATAACTGAGCAAAGCACAGGACTGCACAGCCCTCAACAGATGGATTGAACAGTAATATTTAATGTTACTTCAGTGTGTGAGGTCACAAACTTGGTATGTGAAATTGTGAAGTATGTTTGTACTTAATGGAAGACAGCATGTAAATAAAGAGAGGAAGTAATGATGGGAGGTCATTACATAAACAGACAAAAAGTAATAAATGAAGATGTAAAAGAAGGCTTGCTATAAGAAGTGATGACAGTGGGATGTTTTCAGCATGTCCATCAAATCAAATAACCTCTTAACATTAGTTTAAGAAGAATACATGGCATTAAAAACTTCTTGTGAGAAGCTCTCCAGGCTAAGGATAAATAGTGATTGCATGGTTGCAGCCTAAACAATTCTTCAGAAGCCGCATTCTGTTGAGTGAAATCTATTAATGGGACCTCAGGGCTGTCACTTGCCTAGTGTGGGGCTCTGAATGCCTGAGTCCTGCACTCCTCAGATCTGCTGTCTTGAAATTATGTAATTGAGAGCAGTATCTTGCATGTTGGCAGAAACCTCTTCAATCCCATTATATGTTTAAATCTTCTAGACGATATTTCCCAAACTAGAGACAGATTTTATATGTTTTGTTTTCTTTAATAGGGCTCTAGTGCAGAGAAATTTTAACTAAAAATGCTAACTCTAACTTCTCTCAGTAATGTGCCACAAGTAACTGTATGTTCTTTCATTCCATCAGCATCAGCATCCATTGAAAATGTCTAATTCTTGTTAATCTAGAAGAAAAAGCTTAACAACACACACACACACACACACACACACACACACACACACACACACACACACACATATACACACACACAGAAAAAAAACTAAACCCAACCTTAGAAATCTAAAAATATCTGCAGTACTAAAGGAGGTGACATCCTCCAGTTGGCGTTTTTCTGAAAAGAAGTTGGAAGTTGTTCTTATGTGTTAGGAGTTCCTGAAAGTGAAAGTGACTGATGACAGTGTTGTGTGCTAAATTTTAGAGTTATTAAAACTAAGTGTACTGATGTTAGGTTTTGCTTTTTCTCTGTGCAGTGTAAAAGCAATGCAGAGTATCATAACACCTCAGTATATCTGGAGAAAAGACACATTATCTTCTGGGAATTATGGTATCAGAACTGGCACTGTGCTTTGTTTGAAGGTAAGAACTCATCAGAGATTCACTGCTCCAAAGCACACTTAAGCCTGGAAGTGTGTTGTCACCTTGCTACTTCAGTATGACTCGTGCTGAAATTAGAGTAAAATGAAACCTCAGTGCAGGTAATTGGTTGGGATGATGATAATGTGAGCTCATCCCTTGAACTCAGGGAGGGAAGCCTGCTTAGTCATAGAGCTAGCTGTGCTCAGCCAATGAAGCTGCCAAGTGTGAGCTTTCCTGCAGAATAGTCATGCTGCAGCTTGAACATCTCTTCAGCTTAAACTGTGGACTATTATTATTAAGATGACCTACAAGAAATCATAAAAGTCAATGTTGTAATATTTTATCATCAAGCACTAAATGCACTAAGTCCCTCCCTCTTGGAGACCTGTCAATTACAATTTCTTCATTTTTGCACACAGTTGGGAGAGTTGGAATTTTCACTGTCTTTTGTTTAAAGTGCATGCAACCCTTCTCTAGGAGTGTAATTTTCACTATCTTGGTTTTTGTACCGCTGTAACTACAGTTCTTCAGCCATTACAATCTTCTAGAAAGACAAGGTAACTTTTGTAAGGGGCACACCGTATTTTTAGAAACCTCTTGTGCAACACAGAGATGCATCTTCCCTCCTCTACTTTAGGTTCCCTCTGTACTTTTTTTTTTTGAGAACTATGTGTCCTGATACTTTTTCTACATCTCTTTCCTAAGTAAGAGTAATCCTAAACTAGCCTGAGCTAGGCTCTGTAATACCCATGGCTCCCTATATAGTAGTGGAGTATCCACAGCAAATGGAGGCTTGGGGAGCCCCATAAATGCAATACCTAACAATGGAGAACTCTGTTGCTAAAGGTCTTCTGGATAGTTTTGAAGGTGATGGTTGCAAACTTCAGCCATCTCTATTAAGATGAGCATCAGGGGTTGGTGTGTAGTTTGGTAGGTTGCTTGCTTTGTTTTGCTTCTTTTCTAAGAGTTAAAAATAAGTGTTGAAGTTGTATGCCAGCTTTTGGGTAGTTATCTTTGTATTCCTCTTCAAAGAGTAGAAAATGTGTTTCAGCAGATCTTCTAAATGTTGTTACAGATTTAAATTTGAGCTAGTGGTATTTGTTCTGATATACACACAAAGATGATGTTGTTTCTATCATAATTATATGTGATTGATCGATACAAAAGCACACAAACATCAGTGGATGGAAAACTGGTATAAGATTACTTGGTTTGAGGGGAAAATACTTTGTAGTAATCTCAGAAAGATAAAATAAACTACTATTGCAGTTATTATCAGGTACTGGGATGAAGTTGTTAGCTCTGATAAATTTCTAGCAGTGCTACAAAAAGCAAAGAGAGAGAATAACATTAACACTCCTGGGAGGCATATACCAACGTTTTCACCGTACATTTTTGCTATCATGCAACCAGTTTCCTATTGTGGAATATTTTTTTCTTCTCACAGTGACATTTTTAAGTGGGATTTCATCAAATAAGTTTTCACTCACTGATGTATTAGTTACAATTTTAAAGATTTTTTTTTTCCATCTCACACGTCCATAATTTCTCCTAGAGTTATTTTAGTCCTGTTGAAAGAGGACTGGAAAATGAGCTGAGAAGTTGCGCTTAGAAAAGGAAGGAACGCCCTGGCTCTGTGATATGCGGTGGCAGAGGTCCATGGTTTCTAGCCAGGGTGAAGGGGGAGGGAGTGGAGGGAACAGCTATGTAACAGACTGAGGAAGTGAGTCACTTCTCTGTGAAACACAGGCCCATGGTTCCACTAGAACTGGAGCCAAGCCTGGCCTCCAAGGTGGAAGTTGCGTAAGTTAATTTAAACCCTTTGTCTTTTCCTCCTCATCACACTACCGACTCTGCCATAGTACTAAAAGCTGCACTGTGGCCATATCCGGTCAGAGGAAACACAAGTCACAGAACTTTAGTGTGCTGTATACTTCTGTTTTATTTTTTTTATATAGAAAGACTAAAGGATTTATTTCAGGTTTTGGTGGAATGTGTTAATCTTACCAGCTTTGTCTGCATTTGTGAAATTCAAGGGCAGTTTTTATGAGAAGTAGCCTTGTTCTTTCTTGAAAATTCTTGAGTACATACAGTACAAATAGAAAAACTGCCTTGTCAGATAAAGAAAGAAGAAATTTCTCCTGCAGTTGGTCCCCAAATTCTGTATTTGTTTCTAAAACACTCTGTGACTCTGGAATGAAGCATACTGTTTCAGTAATAGGTATTAGTGAATTTGCAAACCTATTTTCATCAGTTAAGAAAAATGTTTCTCTTTGATGTTTTCAGGTCTCTGAGATTTAAGGCCATTTAGCTGATACCTGCAAATGGTGCTTTACTGAAGGTTTTCCCTGCAATTCTTGATGACCATCTCAGCTCAGGTGGAAAAGTCCCAGATGTTTTGCAGAATCCCTGAACAAGTACAGAGCTATAATTGTTGTTCATGCCTGTGCCTCTGATGCCTGAGAATTAAGTCCATTCATCAAAAGAAACTTGATTTTATGGCAAAAAGAATGCAATAAATATCTTAATATCTTAAATCCATCTTAAAGTATCTTACAATCTACCAGAATTATATTGGCACAATCTGGCTTGAAGCATAAATAAAAAAGAGGTAGTAATAGACACTTGCCTATTGTTATTTGTTTGTTGTTGGTTTAACAAGTTTTACAAGTGCAAAACTAATGATCTTAAAAGGCTATAGGTGTCCTAATAGAAATACTTATGTATGTAATATATATATATATATGGTAGGCATAAATCCTCAGGCTTTTAAAGCCTACATTTGTGGCAACCTTTTTTTATTTTTTTCAGGAAAAAGAAGGCTGGAATTGTCCTAGGCTCCACGATCCAGAAAGACTTTCTCTGTTAAATTTATAGCTTCACATCAAAATGTTTGCTGGTGTTCAGGACCAACTGTAATGATTTCCCTGAACTGCTTTGCCCTGAGTGTGACCTGAGCAAGAGCAGTTGCTTTCAGCTCTTGAAAAGAGCAATCTGAAAGGTTGAGCAGGCCCTTTTCTGCAGCATGTAGATGCCTGACAGGCAGTTCTACATTGGAAAGTGTTGTGGCTTTTCTTGTCAGACATGCAGCTCAGCAGCACACAGCTATTTGCTCGTTCTCCCTAGGTGGGATGGGAAAGAATCAGAAAGGTAAAAGTAGAAATATTTGTGGGCTGAGATAAAGAGTCTGCTAGGTAAAGTAAAAACCAGGTGCACAAGCAAAACAAAGCAAGGAATCCATTCACTACTTCCCATCTGCAGGTGAATGTTCACCCGCTCCCAGGAAACAAGGGCATCACACGTGTCACTTTATTGGGAAGACAAACACCACTGTGAATGTTCCCTCCTTCCTCCTTCTTTTCCCCAGTAGTTAGTGTTGAGCACAATGCCATGTTGTATGAAAAGTCCTTCTAGTCAGTTTGAGGCTGTGCCCTTTCCTTGACTTCCTGTTTCTCCCAGCTTTCTCTGTGGTAGGTCAGCATGAGAAGTAGAGAAGTCCTTGGCTCTCTGTGTAAGCACTACTCTGCAACAACTAAACATCAGTGTGCTATCACCACTGTTTTCACCAAAAACCCAAAACACAGCATCATACACACAACTTTATCCTGGCCAAAACCATGACAGAAAGCAACTATAATTTTGGGGAGTTAGTAGAGGATGATGGGCTGCTGCTTGATTTTTTTTTATTTATTTATTTTTAATTTTTATTTTATTTTATTTTATTTTATTTTTTTTTTCAAAATATTCACTGGAGCATCTTGCTGTGTGTTTGGCTGCAGCCTTAGTGTGCGTGTGTGTTTGAATGTCTTTGGGAAATGTGGCCTGACACATTATTTTTCTCTTTGGTGAGTCATGAGGTTTTTGTTTTGTTTTGCTTTGTGTTTTTGAGTTCAGATTATCCTGGCTAATTGTCCAGATGAGAGTTTAAGAGAAAAGCATTTAGAGCTTGATTAGTCAGAAGTCTGTGTGCAATTGGGTATTGCATCATGCAAATATATGATACCTATTTTGTAAAACTAAGTTGTTTTACATTCTCCTAGAAAGTCATATCTATTATTTCTTACACACACTGTCCTGATCTTTGTTTCCGTCAAAAATAGATCAGATATGCACATAACTGCTTATTGTATGAGTGTTTATGTTCTAGTTGTCTGTAATTGTCTTGTTCATTGCAATTGCTTCTCTCTTTCAGGACCTATACCTAAGTGGACCCTACTGACCTGTGAACGACGAGGAATAACAGTGAAAAGAAGTGTGAGAAGCACACAAAGAAAAAGGAAGTGGAGGCACTTTCATTGGGACTTCTTTCCTGCCCTTTATTACTAATACTGAATGGAAAAGAGAGATTTATGTGCCTTTATTCCCCCAGCCTCAGGGATGGGTGTATTATAAATACGGTGTGTGCAGTTGGAAGAATAGACTGAATCATGAATCTTCAGGCTCAGCAAAAGTCTTCAACCAAAAGGACTGGGAAACGAATGACTTATTTTAATGAGCAAGATATAACTGTGTCATCAAAAGAGCCACAGCAGCAGCTTAAAGAAGGACAGTATTATGGTCATGGAGGGAATATTCCAGCCTCCCAGACTATGGAGATTCCTCACACAGCAGGATTAACGAGTGCCCCCAGCAATGTTGCTTTGATGAACTCAGTTTACAGTCAAGATAGGGGAGAATCAATGATGATGTCCCAGCCAGTAACAGCTGTCAAATGGCAGAATTCTTTAATGGGAAACAGGTTGCCAGAGAGAGGTGATGCCCACTGGCAATCTCCATCTGCAATGTGGAACCACAGTATGGTTTTTGGAAGCAATCCCAAAGGACCCCACACCAATGCAGGTGCCCCAGGCTTCTATGGTCACCCAGAAGCCCTTAAAAGAAATCAAGAGAAAGGTGTATTTGTGTCTCAGATGGATTTGTATGAAGATGCAGTTCAACAAATGATGTCCCAGAAGGCTCAGCTGGAGCAGCAAGCTCTAGTTAGACAGCAAGCACAAATGAATTCCTTTCATCAGATGCAGAAACAGCAGCAGCAGAATCAAAGTCTGCCATTACAGCCTTTTCAGCTTGCATTTGGTCACCAAGGCCAGAAGCAAGGACTTCCTGAATTATTGCATGTCTTTCAAGAAGCTCCAGCTTCTTCCACTCCAGCATTTACTGCTCAACAAAAACAGCAAGCTCTTCCTCAGCTACAACTGTTTGAAAATTTCTATCCTCAGCAGCAGCAACAGGCTGCCACACAAGCTTTTGGTCTACAGCAAACTACTTCCATAGCACAGCCTCATGTTGCAGCTGCAGCACCTCAGCATCACATGATGGCACACCAGTTTCAGCAAACGGAGAGGAACCAGGAACTATTCAAGGCTCTAACAGAGCAGAACCAACAGACTGTTCTACCTCAGACCCAGATTCCTTTTCCAAGAAGATCACGGAGACTCTCCAAAGAAGGCGTCCTGATGACATCTACTGGAGAAGTGTTGGCTTCCAAGCAGGCAGAAGAACAATCCGGCAATTTATTTCTCCATCACTGGCAAGCACATCAGCAAGAGGTCCCGGTACAGCAGCCGCTTGAGTCACTGACCCATACCAAAAGCAGCTATTCACATCCCAAGAGAATGGATCAGGGGCAGAAGGATGTCCTGGCCAACAGTGAACCATGCCAGGTAGAAACAGACGGGCACACCATCGCTCAGAATGGCAGAGATGCAGAGAAACAGACATTAGCAGCAGAAGGAAACACTTCAAGAACTAATGACTTTCAGGGTGTTAGAGGTGGTGTAATACAGAGTACGCGAAGGAGACGGCGTGTTTCTCAAGAAGCCAATTTGCTAACTTTGGCCCAAAAAGCCGTTGAGCTGGCTTCTCTTCAGAATGTCAAGGTAAGGCATACGTCCTAGCCAGTGTAGTATGAGGACTGATTTAGACAACAGAAGAGGGCTGAAATGCAAAGGAATTTATGTACTATGCAGGATCGTATTGTCTCTTAATGCAAGAAGCTCTGTAGTGCAGTAGGGGCAGCTCTGTAGTCATAAGGGCAGTTATACTTCACTAATACTGAATGAGATTTTAGTTCAGTACTCAAAAAACAAATGTTTTCTGCTTAGGCTTCAAGCTGATCTGGAATTTAGGGTGACAAATATAAACAATTCACATATCTTTTGACCATTCTCCTCCTCTTAAGTTATGTCTACTGCTTACCTGCTATTTTTCAGTTATAGAGGTTGAGGTGTTTCTAAATTGTGCTATCTAAAATTACGTAATGCTACTTGCTTGTTCAATATTTTCCATATATTAAAAGCCTAAGGAAGCCTAATTTCCTTAAAGAAGTTGTGATGCTTATAAAATCTTTTTTTTTCCTCTGAGAATGTCCAGCAGCAGCTGCTCAGATTGATAATCTGAGGACAAAGTCTGCATGTAGACTTTCTGTAGGAGTTGAACAGGGAAGAAATTGTATTGATTGACAAGGTAATTCTCTACTACTATCCTTTTAGTGTCCCATCAGTGTAACAGTCACTGGAACATATACAGTTTGGCAAGATGGCAAGGCTCAAAATTAGCAGGAGAGACAAGTGGTAGCATTTTTGTTGTTTGTTTACGAGGTGTGCTTTGTAGTTTTCTTTTGGGTGTGGTTAGACTAATCTTTCAACGAGTGCCTCTTATGAGAAGCTAAGATACACTTTTTTCTGTGGAAGCTTTGCTAGGGAATGATGAAGTACAACTGTTAGAGCATAAACTACTTTTACCTACTGCTGTTTGCTGTTCAAGTTGCTGACCAATCAGATAACAAAAGGAAGGAAAGTTTTTCCCCTTCTGTTGGTATTTGTTTTTCCTAGTCTGCCTGTGGCTGTTTTTTCCCAGTCTTTTCCTTAGAGGGATATGCTTCTTGAGTAAAAGAACTGGGGTAAGAAACAGTGAGAAAAGTAACCATCACCTAGTCCATCTTGTACAGCAACCAGTGGCTGTCACTGTCATGAATCCTTTTTCTCTCACACGGGTTGAAGAAGGTGTTTACCTGCTGATTTGGTACAAACTGCAGCCTGATCAACACAGTGGCAAGAGAAAACTCACTAAGCAGCTGGGAAAATGGCCTGACAGGTGAAACAAGAAGTTACTCGCTTGAGGGCTTGTCTGCGTGCGTTTCAATTTATAATGCAAAGACCAGACAAAACACTTTGACAAATGCTCATTTGTTCTTTGTAGCAACAAGCAGCTTGTTTGCTTCCATGGAGGCACTAGCGGAAGAGCTTTTTGTGTTTGGATCTCTTCAGGCTTCCAGGATGAGGTTTGGAAGGAGGTTAAAATTCTTACCCTGTGTCTGATAAACTTTGTCTCTAAGGAGGTTGGATATCACATGAGAGAAAAAGAAAACATTTTGAAGAGAGTTGTCTTCTCTTACCAGTGTCTTTCTGATAGAAACAACCAAGAAGCCTTCCCTAGTACAGATTATGCAAAGAGCATATGATTGGGCTATAGGATTAAATTATTGATAAAAGAAGATATATTCATAATTTCAATCAGTTGTTTGAACATTGCAGTGTAGTAGGTATATGTGAAAACATTATTTTAGACAGCAGTATTGAAATATATGTGCAGTGTCATAAATGATGCTTTGCACCAGATCTGCCCATCTACTCTGCCTTTTTAAGATATTTTTTTGCTGCTTACAGATTGCAGTGAAATCTCAACTCTTAGTATTAGTGTTTCATTTTGAGTGTATCTGCTGTATTTGACATCTTTTAGAGATTACTTGAGGAGTACACATGGTCAATATCAAAATGGCTGATGGATTTCTGTGGATCCACTGAAAGGCTCTAGGCCAGTAGTGCATCTGTCAGTATTTATGCAAGAGAAAATGCAACAAGTTGCACTTGTTGGAATTGTCCAGCATCCCTCCTACCACCTCTTCTGTAATAGGGATACTGAACTGGCTGAAAATCACTAGCAACTTGACAAATGATGGGCCTGTCTCTTGTCTGATGATTCGTTTTTGCCTACCTGTGAGCATAATCAAACAGTTTACAAAATTATTTAGTTTTATTCAAATAAATAGCTTGACTCCAAAATCAATTGTATTCCCTCCTAATAAATAAACCATAAGTATGTGAGAAATCTCACTGCTGTGGAGCAAAGCATCTTATTGGAGGCTGTCTGAGCTATGTACATTTAATTCTCAGAGGTGCCTTTTCTTTATCTCTTCTACTGTTCAGGTCTCCTCCCATCCCTTTTCCTTAGAAGAAGTCATCTTTCCCGTCTTCAGAGAAGAGAGTGCTTTGCTGGTTACCTCCCAGACATGAAAATAAAGGGAGCACAGTTGACCCATCAGAGCCAAAGCAATGTGATTGTGTGTGATTAGCTGCCATAATTTCCTCCTTGCAGTCAGGAAAGAAGTTCACGTCTCTTGACCTATGGAGGTCTGTGTGTATCACAGAGGAAGTATCTGAGATTTGTAGACTGGTCAAAATTGGTGCTTCTTCCCATATCAGTATCACCATTACTTCTTTGAATTGTCATTAGTCTGTCAGGTACCTATGAAGTATTTACCAGAGTGTTTGCAATAGTGATAGCTATGCAAGGAGGAAAAAAACCACAGTCATCTGGTAAGAATGAGACCTTTGTCAGCAGCAGTGTCAAAAAAACCTGTGTTTTCCATCACATTATAGTGTTAAACAGTGCAAGTAGCCAGAGACCACTCTTAATGCTGATGCACAGATATCTACTGTTGATCTCTGCTGAAAGAATATTTTGGAGGTATACCCAGTTAGTTAACTAGTCCTCAGTAATAGCGTGATAATCAGCACGGATCTCCTTGATGAATGGAGACCCGTATATAGCAGTATGAACCTGTGAGTTGCTTCTTTGGCCAGCTTTTTCCAGTAGATGACTTGTTTATCTCTTTAGAAAGATGTTTCCATTGGTTTCTCTTTCCTGAAGGTGAGAGGCTACAAAAATTTGCAAGTGCCCCTTAATATCTATAAGTAGTGGTCTTGAGCGCCATATCTGTCAGAATGATGGATGTCCTTCAAATCCAAGGTTGGTAACCTCTTGGGACAGTATGGGTACCAGTCACCATTGTGGAGTGAAGGGAGATCCTCAAAGCTCATGGATTCCTTCTATAGCAGTGTCTGTGCCAGTTGATGCCAAATGTGACTAATCAGTTCTATGTTTCATTGTCACGCAATGGAGGATGATACCTCCAGTCTGTGAAGAAGCAGACAAATTTTGAAACTGCTGGGCTGTTTATGGGATAAAGCAAACTGTGCTACTCTAATAAAATATCTTATAGGTAGGAAGTCCTAAATCTCTTTTTTCTGATTAGTTTTATTTACTCAGGCTTAGCACCTAGATTTAGGCCTCTTGGAGAGTCCAGAGCTCCAGCTTCAAGCTCTGGCTGATCTGACATCTTGTGATGGTGAGGTTGCACTTCTCTGAATATAAATCTAGTATTGAAGTGGGACTTCATTCTAGTCCTTTTAGCTGTTAGTTTGATTATTTGTGCACCAGCTAAAGCTAGTTCATCCGCTCTCCAGTGAAGCCAGCTCTCTTGATCTGTGACAACGCTGAAATGACAGAGTTTTGAAACCTTACAACAGTATCTTCTTATGCTAAGATTTTTTTATTAGGATTAGGTATTCGTAGTGGCACATGATCTCTCATTGTATGAGAGATAATGTGCCTTAGTTTCCACTTCACAAAGCTGTTCACATGAATTCTTCATTAGATTGTGACTGACAGAGAATGAATTTGCATTCTAATCACTTTCCAAACACAGCATGAAGTTTGAGTGAAGTTCTGAAATGTCTAAAGAAGCATTTTCTACAGCTTCTAGATGATGCTTCTCTGGAGTTTGAGAAGGAGTTTTGCATCCCTGAAGGAAGGTATTGTTGAAAGTTGTCCTTTGACATCTGGCTTCCAAGTGAACTGGAAATTACTTTGAAGGAGTGGTCCGAGAATGGAATGAACACGCAGTCATTTGAAGGAGTAGAAATCACTTTTTTAGAAGTATCTTAAGTTATTTGGTGCTCCAGTACCCATGTGTCTGTTCAGTAACTCATCACCCATTCTTACGTCCTTGAAGCTCAGTTTTTTAGAATTTCCATGAGTAAAAGAAAGCAGAGATATGGAAGCTATAACACCAATTCAAAACATGCTGGCTTTTACTTATGCTTTGTTGATTCTACTGAGCAAAACTTCTTCGGGAGGTTTGGAAGGCAAATCTCAAAGGCTGCACTTACAGATAAGGAATGCTGCTGTTGAGTAAATTGGAAAAGTACACTAGAAACCTAGCTTATTTTATTTTCTTTTTTTCTTTATGAGAGATTTAAGGTTACCAAGTTTCAGTCTTTTCTGGTATGGAGGTCTAACATTCGAAATTAAAAATTTGCAGCTTATGGTCATTACTAAAACTGAAGATCCTTTGAGGAAGTTATATAGCAAAGCATTTGAGACCTGAAGGAATCCTCAACTAATTCTAACAAATGTTCATCGTGATTTTGTCAAGTAGTCTTTTTCCTCCAGTAATGCTTTTCGAGTCCCTTTCAGCTTGCAGATAGCATTGAGAAAGTTGATATACTGTACAAGTGAGAGAGCATCTGATTCATTATGCAAGCGCTACAGAACTTTTAAGTTATCTGTCTTTCTTCTCAGGAATCAGATACTTCAGAAGAGAAGAAAAGTGTGCTGGTAGCAGCTTCAGGACCTACAGCTGCTAAAAGTGTTGTGGAATTTGCCAGTTCTTCACCAGCTCCCAAAAAAGCCCGGGAGGATAGCAGCCTTGTGCCTCTTATCATTCCTGTATCTGTGCCAGTGAGAAAAATTGACTTGCAAAACCTTGAAAAAGAGAAGTCTGAGGATGGGAAATTCCAGAGAGGCCAAACAAACGATCGAACTCCCTGTGAACGCAAGCCTTCTGTGATAGTCACTCGGAGGCGATCTAATCGTAATACTAACATGGAAACCTCAAATCAGGTATGGGCAGGTGAAGAAACCAAAGAGAACCATAGCTGTTACTTCTAATTATGTATTTTTTACCCGTAAACTTTTCTATTAAAGCAGTTTGATCTCATCCTTTGAACTTGGGATGGGACAATGTTTTGTGTTTGTTTTTTGTTTTTTATTTCATAATATTGCCATATATTTGAGGTATCACTGGCTTTTCATTACTTATTGCTCCTACAGTACAGTAAACCAGTGCTCCACTACTGAACAGTAGAGTAAATAAAGCCAGATGGACAATAACACTGAAAAGAAATATTTTGTCTCCTTGAGAAAATAATTCTTTCTCCATATGTATATAGATAGTAATGAATTGTGAGTAATGTGTATATATCTCCAAGAGTGAATAAAATGGAAACTGAAGATTTATTCTTATGAAATTTAAATCTCTTTCTGAAGTTTTGGAGATCAGTACTTTAATGTTCCTGTTCGTTGTATTGCTGGTCAGTGGGTTTTTGTTTTTTAAACTTTTTTATCTGTCCTGTTGAGAAGTATAATGGAGTATTCTGATACCAAAGATAAATGGCAGGCATCGAAGGAGGTTTCTGTGCATTTAAATGCACAACCATTTAAGACAACACAGTGATATTTTCTGCTATTCTCTTATCTCTATTCTAATATCACTTTGTATGTGTGTCAGAGTTCTGCTGTGCTTATATGCGCTCTTTACTAGCTACCATCAGATCGTTATCATCTTTCCAAAGGTTGAATCAAACATATTTGTGATTGTAGTAAAATATAGCTTCATAAATGTTTGGATATAGTGTTGCTACCTAATGGATTCCACGTAGCTCCCTATCATCTTGCGCTTTTTCCCTTTGCTAATTGTTGAGACCCACACCCTCCAGAGGTGCCCTATCAGATTTTGAACTACCGTGGAAGAACATTGTCATATTGCTGAAATTTTTCATGTGATTTAAGGCCTTATAATTAAATTAAATATATAACCTTTTTCTAATAGCATGAACATGCTGTTCCAAAGGATGAAGCAGAGGGCTTTGCCCGGAAACCAAAGCAGCGCCCAAGACCTGAGCCACTCTTCATACCACCAAAAGCTGGCACCTTTATTGCACCTCCTGTTTATTCTAATATTACACCGTATCAGAGCCACTTACGGTCACCTGTCCGTCTGGCAGACCATCCTTCTGATAGGAACTTTGAACTACCTCCTTACACTCCTCCACCAATTCTTAGTCCAGTGAGAGAAGGATCTGGGCTATATTTTAATGCTATCCTCTCTTCAAGTGGTCATCCCGTTCCACCTCCAATGACTCCTAAAAGTGCTCACAGAACTCTGCTTAGATCAAGTAAGTTCCACTTTTTCTTTCCCTTCTTTCTTTCTTGGCTAATTTGTGCTTAGCAACTGTGGAGCAATAGAAGGATAATCATGACTTCTGGAGTACATGAAAATGAGATTTCTTGGTGATAAAGTCTGGGTAGCTAGGATGAAGGGATTGCAGTGCCCCTTCCATCAGTCCATAAATGTTAAGATGAGTTCACAAGTAATCTCCAACACCCCCTACTGACATTCTCAGGAATGGAAAAATCAGTTCATTTTCTATAATAGCCTGTCATTATCTGGGGCTGAGTAGGCAGTAAGTAGTTATTAGTAAGTTGTAAAAGCTGAATTCTACTGGGACTTACACTGGGATCTTAAACTTCTTTAGTATATGGGTACCTGTTTTGAAGTATGGATAGCTCTGACAGATCTATCATCTGTGTGAAGAAAATATCTCGTGAGAAGGCGATGAGTCTGAGCAATTCTTTCTTTGCCTTGCAGACAGTTCAGAGGTTACCCCTCCCGTTCTTTCTGTGGTGGGAGAAGCCACCCCGGTCAGCATTGAACCGTAAGTACCCAGCAGAGTCTTAGCCTGGTAGTAAACCTGCTTCTCTTCCCACTCCTAAACCTTTGACCTGCTCCATCTATAGTTGATATATCCTCTTAGAAACATTAAAGCTATTCCTATTAGTGGCTCAAAATATAAACGGTCTTTTAAAAAAGTACCTCTGTGCAATAAATAACATTTGGGCAAATGCACTTTTTAATTCTGGTGATTTTACCTACTTCTTAGTATTGGTCAGCAGAGTGAGTTAGGTGAGTCTCTCTTGTTTTGTTATACACACTTATTTGGAAGATCTATAAATGTTTGAGAGTGGGGAAATAACACTCTTTTAGTGAAAGAATAAAGAAGAATAAGGACAAATGTAGGTAGCTTTCAGATGGGCTCCGCAGATTTCAGGTTATCCCTGTGGCAGGTACTAGCTTCAGCACAAATGTGAACATGGTTTTGTTCCCTTTTAGACCAGCTCAGTCTGAAAGCATGGTAGCCATTTGCATGCAGTGTGGCCAGAACTAATAAGCTTAATTAATCTTTTTAGCTGTTTGTATGCTGGGAAAGCTCAGATATTAAAACCCTGTGGCACTAGGGAACACAGTTTGGAAACAGAGAAACTGGAATTATGATTTTAGGCTTGGTGCCAGTCCTGTTAAACCTGTCAGGAAAAGCAAAGCTGCAAGTGTCTCTGTACAGCTCTTGTAAATTTCAGGAATGTTGTCAGTTAGAATAAATTCCTGTAGAACTGCAGCAAGGTAGTTCCAATTTTGTTTAAACTCTTGAAAAATCTAAGCATAAAGATATATGGCATGGTGATAGCCATGTGAAGTAACATTCATGGGGCTCTACATACCCGACTCCTTGCAGTCAGGAATCTCTGCTCTAACTGTAGTGTATCTTGCTAATGTTTGAAATTTAATTTAGACCATCTCCAAATAAACGTTGTCTTCTACTTCAAAAATTATCCGCGTTTTAAAGATTAGCTGTAGCATTTGCTGTCAACTTATAGGACTTGTTTCCCTTTCTCTCTCCTGCCTGTTGGAAGTTCAGGTTTTGTACATTTTTGGCAGCTGGCTGTCCTGAGCTGATTGGAACCTATTGCAATTGCAAATAGACTCAGGTTATTCTTGTCACCTTCACAAATTCCCTCTGGGCCCAGGGTCTGGCTCCAGAACAACTCAAGCAGATAATCACTATTTCTTTGCTCCTGTATCTTGTATCTCACCAACAGCAGTTCAAATTCATAAGCAAGCACACCTTTCGTTTTGGTTTGTTTTTAATCAGTTTTGACAATAGCTTAACTCATTGTTTTGGTGTTGGTTGAAGTGAACCTCTTCCAGAACAGATGTTTTTGTTTTCTCAGTAGATCTTGATCACCATTGCATGATGTTACCAAGTTTAGCTGTTGCCTCCAATGGTTTAAACTGCTGAAGTTAATGACATGCTATTGGCTGTGGATTAAGTTGTGGATGAAATGTTTCAAATTTGTTACTATAAAATTCAAATCGTGGTGACTTTTAACTTCCTTTTGACAAAAGAAGATGAACTTGCATTAGTGTGCAAAGAGCTGTCTTGTTATCTTAAGACAGTGAATAGATGTTTAGGCAGATTAGAGAACTTTACATTTTAAAATCACAAGGTAGTGTCACTTTGTGTTGTCAAAGTAATTCATTTACTACTTCAGTGCTAATTTATGCAGTAGTGTTGTGGTCTGTTGTGTAGACAAATCTTCTTTCTTTATAGAAAGGATGGCAGGAAACATTTTTAAAATTATTTTTTGTTTTTAAGGAAAAAAAAAAGTACAATTTGATCCCTTGGTTTGTATTCTTGATTCTGTTAAAAGCTGATTGTAACTTATGATGGCCACATATTGTGTTCTTAATTGCTTGCTTTGTCAGACCTTCTGCTAATGCTTCTTAAAAGGTTATTTGATTGCAGAGATTTGGAATAGGAAATGTACTAATGAAGCTTAATTCTTCTACTTGGGAAATAGATTAATAGGCAGCTGGTGTCACAGATCTGCATGTCTTAAGAGTCTTGAAGTTCAGTTCCTTTCAAGTCTTCCTTGTAGTCACTCCTCAGTTAGCCTCCGTTCTGAATGATGCCACATATAATTGTACCACAGGATGTCCCAGCAGCATTGATTATGGGCAGTAGCTTTTGCTATACTGAAATCTAGGCTTTCATGTTGAAGGAGTCATGGAATAACTTAGCTGCAGTGGATCTTGGGAGGTCACTTGGTCCAAACCCCTCCTTGGAGCAGGCCAGGTTAGTTCAGATTATGTAAGTAACTGATCAGCTTTTGTGGTGGAAATCTGGTTTTCTTTGCAGGTGCAATACTTGCAATACTTGTAGGCTCTTACTGCATAGGGACACAATAAATCTACGTTTGGTTTTAGGATAAAAGGTCATTTCTGAGATATCCCTCCTAGCTCGCGTTCTTTTCTTCTGGTTCTTCAGCCACTACTTTCCCTCTCACAAATGAGGCCAGAAGAGCCTCATTTGTGCCTGGGGACACAAAATCTACCAAATTTCCCTAAGTGTTAACAGACTTCTTATGTTTCCACTTGACAGCAAAGTCAGTTGCTTGTAGTTATCCCTTCTAGGGTGGGTCAGTAACCATACCTTTTCTTCCACTGTAAAACTGCATGCCATACTGATAAGTGAGACTAATTACAGTGAGCAGAATATTCCATACGGATATCATTTTGCAGTCCATTAGTGTGCTGAAATGAGAATGTATCAATGTTTTTTGTTTTGCTTTTTTTTCCCTTTAGCGAGGTTTTCTCAATCTTGCATGAAATCTCTTGCTTTTTGTTTTGCTCTCGTGCTGCATCTGACCAACAACATAATCAGTCAATATCACGGTTTTCAACAAAATAATCAAAAAAGGTGAAAGTAGATATTCAAGAAAGGTGAATAAGTGGAAAACTATAGTTTTAATAGGTTTCTATACCTATAAAACACTCAAAACCAAACTGAGTTCTTCCTAGGGTTCTTTATTCTCCATGCAGCTTCCACCCTCAGTATATATGAAATTGAATTACTTTTCAGAAGCAGTATCTATTCTGTTGAATCTGTTTTCTAGACACCCTGAAATACTTAAAACTGTGAGCATTACAGGTGGGATGTTTTCAGCTGCCTTTGTTATCCCCAGCCCATGCCATGCCGCTTCACAACATCCCTAGCACTTTACTTTTGACTGGAGCTAGAGATTGTCTTTTGGGGAAAATGACAGGCAGTATATGATGTTCTGCATAAAGCTCCTCTGTTACATTAGTTATACCTGAATGTTATCACACCATCACCTACTGCCACGGAAGTTTTCTGAGCAGTTATTAGGAGATCCTACTTTAAGTGCAGTTCCAACTACTGTTGATCAATAAGACAATGGAAACTGACAGTGAATATAAAACCTCTTATATTCTCACTTGTAATGCACAATACCTGAAAGCTGTTCTTGCTATATGACAGAGCCTGTTGCATTTTGGTTTCTCCATAATTGGCATTTTTACAAGAGATGAGACTGTTTGGGTATTGTAGAAATTACCTGACTGTGACTTATCTTTTCTGCAGGCGTATAAATGTAGGAACTCGCTTTCAAGCAGAAATCCCTTCACTCCAAGACAGATCTCTAGCAGCAGCTGATGAACATAAAGCAGAGCTGGTGTGGCAGCCATGGGACGACCTGGAAACCAACAGAGTCACCCAACAGAATGGTAAGAATGTGGAAGGCTGGTACATAGGGCTGAGTGCCATAGCTGAGGTAGAGTTAACCACATGTCTACTGTAGGCATAACTTCAAATAGATCTGCCAGTTATCATGGCATACGTAAGTGGTCTTGAAAGCAATCTTAGGAGTAAAACTTATTTTTCTGGATTGTGTGTGGGGGCTGGGAGGTTGATAGGCATTTTATTTATCTATTGAGATAAAGTGAGACCATTATTACCTGTCAAAGAGAGACTTGCATTCAATGAAACTTCCTCGTCAAGCGTAGTCAACTTTTAAACAGATGCTCTAGACATAATAGTATTTGGGAAAATCAAGTTGTAGACATCAAACAGGAGGAATCAGGAGCTGTGTCCGCTAGTTAGCAGGCTGAGTAACTGTCTGCTTTTGGTGCACACAGGCTGTGGCATGTATAGATACTGAAGAGCAAGTGTGGGTGGTCTTTAGAAGAAGAATTTTTTCTTAAAAAGAAAAAACGGTGTTACGAAATGAAAACTTGGTATAGATGATAGAATAGAGGGGGGATTGAAAAAAATCTGAGGTGAAGGGAGATTGGAAGACATTACAGGACATAAGAGTTGGTAGAACAAAAACAAAACTCCATGTGTAATTAGTGCTGCTTATGGCACTCTGCTCTGTGACTTTGCAGTCTAATTAATTCCTTTGTCCAAATCTGACCCAAATAAATTTGCAAGGTCATTCATCATTTTGGTTTTATCTTCTGTTATGTCTAATCCTGCTTCAAAAAATCTAATTAGTCATGTGAATTCTCTAGGAAACTCAATTTTAATCTTCTTATCTGAATTTGTTTTCTATCTCTTTGTGAATAGTGGAAAGCCTGCTAGCTGCTGCCTGCTCAAGCATTTTTCCTGGAGGTGGTACCAACCAGGAGCTGGCACTGCATTTCTTACATGAAGAAAAGGGAAGCATTCTGGTGAGTCTTTCCACCTTTTTGCCTTGATGTGGTGAAAGATTTTAACGAAGGCCAGGTGAGCTGTTATTTGACAAATGGAAACCTCTTGAAGACTCTGTCCTTTGCTTCTAGTTCACATTGCTTAGCGTCTCTTGGAGATGCTGCTGTCCCTAAAATGTTCTTCCTGATGTACACTACCATCTTCATTCCCTATTGTTCGTATTTCAAGCTTCAAACTTTTGACTTTTTAACAGAGTGTCAATCTAGTAGACTGAGTAAGATGAGACTGCCTAACGAATTTTAAACATTGTCTTAAATGTAAGTGAAGAGGCTTACCACTTGTCATTGGTATCCAGAATTTAGTGGACAGTTCTACGGTAACTGTTGAGTCATGGCCTGAACCACTGATTGAGCACCTGGGGAAAGGACCAGGTCAGTCCTGGGAGCACAGGTGAAGGCAATTCAGCTGTGACCAGAAGGGGTAGAGCCTGGCTGCACCTCTCTGAGACCCCATTTAAGGGCTGAGTGCCAGCGGGGAAGGATCTCTGGTTGGAGATCCCTCCATTATGGAGTTTCTATTGCGAGCATAGATCCTCAGAGATGGGCGAACACTTCTTTTCATAACGCCTTTCTATCGTGCTAGTCCCTTTGTCATTACATCTTTTATATCACCATTCCATTGCATTGATCTTTCTGAGTGTTGCAACAGTCAAGAATGTGATTTTAAAATTGTCCCAATTCATGTCACAGGTATTAACTGTGATGTAGGAAAAAGAGAACTTCTTTTCAATTAGTTTACCAGAAAGGAGTGGATTGACAATTACCTGATTATTTATTTATTTATTTATTTAAAAATTTTGTGTTGTTTATTTTAGGGAGCTCTGACCAAGCTGCTATTGAAAGGGCCAGTACGATCACCTACCCATCCACTGGCAGATTATCACTACACAGGTTTGCTAACCAGAATAACTGTGCTGCCTATATGTCTTAAGGGTTTTCTTCCATAGTTTTCTATTCTTCTGGGGCACTCTGTAACATTATGATAAGAATTAAAAGCAACGCTTCTCCCTAGTAAGTCAGATGATGGCTTGCCAGGAATTTCGCATGTGCAAATCATGACACAATGTAAGAAACACTTCATCTCTCAGAATATGTGCATCTGTGAATTTGCATATGTGTGTATTCAGTTTCCTTTACTAGGGGAAAAAGGAATCTGATTCCTTACACTAAACCACAGCGAATGCAGAAGAATGATTAGTTCATAAAGGAAAGACTGTGGCAACCTTGGGGTCACAGCCTCTTTGGCATGGATTTCCATACGGTGGGGTTAAGAAGGGGGTATGAGGGAAGAGGTCTGAAGCTTGCTGAAGAAAGCTAGGAGGTGAAGAGCTCAGCCAACTGTTGATACCTGTCATTGTTTCTGTGAAATGTACATGCCATAAACTGTCTTTTTAGTGTCATACCTAACTAGGAATTGTCAGGCTGTGTGACACTAGTGAAGTTCAGTGATCTAGGGTGACCCTAGCTGCTTGAGAGTCCTGATGCAAAGTGGGAGAGAGACATTTTAGATCTGCTGCCAGAAAGTAAAGAAATTGCATTTATTCATTATTACACATTGCTACTGTAATGCTGTTGCTTTGGCATATCTATAAGGGAGGAGGAGATTCTGGAATGTTTGTTATTGGAGGCAGGTATGATAGAATACTGACGTATTTAGGATGTTATAAATTGTCAGAGTACAATTTGCTGCTACATCTCATCGGCTATTGTGGATTTCTGCTGAAAGAGAAGTTCCTGTTCTCCTCCCCCTACCATTTTTCTTTTATCAAATGTAATCACAGAGTGTGTCTGTTAAGCTTGCTGTTTTGTTGGAAAATATTGTAGTTCTTCTAATTAGCTGGTTTTAGCGAGCTGAACTGAGTTAACCTGGAGGGATGAGTACTAGATCTAAAATGAAGTGATGAGAGAAGGGCCAAAGCGAAACAGTAAGGGATGGGTTAACACCAGCCTGTAGTTAAGTAGGATTAGGTGCAAAGTGAGACTGTACCCTTCTATGTGTGCATTCCTTTTATTTAAAGGGAATTTTAAGAAAAAGTACATAGAGTTAACATTTGAAATTGCAAGGACTTAGTAGCAACTTTTTTATCTACAGGATCGGACAGTTGGAAAATTGCTGAAAAGAAGCTTTTCAACAAAGGCATTGCAATCTACAAGAAGGATTTTTTCTTAGTCCAGAAGCTGGTGAGTGTTTTAGTGTTGCTGTTTTTTAATGGCAATGATATCTTCTGATGTTTGAGCATTTAATACACGAGATTAAATCCTGATTTTTTTTTTTTTTTTCTGAAACCTCAATGTTAAGCACTCAGAAGATTTTGTAGAAATGTTATAATCCAGCACAGCACAATCTCACCAGAGATGGCTAGAACAACAGTGGTTGGATTGGGTTGGCTTTTTTTATTTTTTTTTTTTGCTGTTGTTGTTTACTCAACCCTTGTACTTTCTGCATTGCTTCCATTAGTCCACACAGTGCAGATATCGCTTCCATGAGGCGTATTTATAGAGTGCTGGTAATGTTCCAGTACAGCTTAAAGGGCTTGCTTATAAAACTAAATAGAAACACATCCTTGTTGCTGATGAAAAGGACCAAAGAAGGATACGTGAATGATGCATCCTTTTGTGCTGTTTGCTGTTACACTGATATTTAAAATGATCTTTTGTATGTGTTTTCCATGAGGTGTGACACCTCAGTGGGAGGAAAGCACTTGAAGGACTGAGAGCATAGAACTGGGAGCTGCATTTGTTTTCTCTGAATAAAACATCCAAAATGCATTGAAGTTGTAAAAGCCCAGAAATTAAGAATATACTTCCAAACTTTCAAAATAGTCCCTGATAGAGAATACGTAGATGGTCATAGATCTGTACTGATAATTGTCTATTGCTACATGTGTATGAAATGCATGTGGCCAAAATGGGAAAGTGCTGCAAACCTTCCTTTCCATTTTTGGAACGGTATTCTGCTCTGGTCTTCTCCTAAGTGCTGCTGTAAAATAAAACTCCCATAAAACTGAAAGGCTGCTCTCAAGCCTGACAGCTCAATTGGAATGTTTCAGAGGCTAAGAAGTGCAATAAACAAAGTGCCAGGTTCCGTCACCTTTACATTGGCCAGCTTTTCTTTGGGAAGCTGGTCTTGTGTTCCTCAAAATGAATAGCATTGGTGGTAAGGAATGAGCTGTAGGATGGGGTGGGCAGACAGAAGAAGAGAACATGGGAAACAAGGGTTTAAGAGCAGTTGTAGTGGGATTAAGACGCAAAGTGTATTTATTGCACCCTTAGTGATTGTTTATAAGCCTTCTTAAAATCATGTAATCTATTGTACTTTTATGTTTTCCAAACACCAGATAAAAACCAAGACAGTGGCTCAGTGTGTGGAATTCTACTACACGTATAAGAAACAAGTGAAAATTGGTCGGAATGGGACCTTAATTTTTGGGGACATAGATGTTGCTCATGAAAAGTCTGCACGAGATGAAGCTGAAGTTGACATCAAGGTAATTTCTTAAATTTCTCTCCTCTCTCTTGGGCTATGGCGCTAAGTTTGATTTTGTGTGCTGTCTTGTTTGGTAGTAGAATCAGGACCAAAAACAGGCTGGCCAGTGCAGAGTTCAGACTTATAAGCTTATAAGCTTATATGTCCTGTGTCACTTAATGACATTTACTTGCAGACACCAAGGTTAACAGTTCCTTTGTCTTCTGGTAAAGAGCTCCCACAGGTTTGCACGTGTTCTTCCTCTCAGAAGGGACTTTTTCAGTGAAGAACAGGGGCACTTGGAAGATGAAGAAGAGGAGGAAGAGGAGGCAGAGGAAGGGTTTGATAACAGAAAGAAGAGCACGCTCCTTCTCAAAGATGAACAGACACTACAAGATGATTTAATAGTAAGTGCTGCATTGTGCATGTTGTGCTTTTTATACTACCTTCACTCTGCAAGTAGTTTAGGAAATACAAGGTCAACAGTTCAAGATTTAAGTCTCTGCCTTCTTCCAGAGCAAGGGCTGGGCTGAGGTAGCTTAGAGTGTTGCTGGTAACAAGACTGTGTGCCATTCTGGAAGAACTGAGATGAGTAAGGCAGGGAAACCCAAGTTAATTATTTGTAGTTGATGTATACATAGGACCACAGTGAGAAGTGGGTTTTGGTTTGTTTGCCTTACATTTCCCTCTCTCCAAAGGCCAATGATGCCAATATAAGGAGTCGAGAGGCAACTGTTACAGGCAGAATTGGAAGAAGGCCGAGGGAGACGACCATGAAGCCTCGAAAGCTTATTCCTGCTCCTGTGCAGAGAAGGCGGCGAAAACACAAGATAAAATCAGATGTTACCAGTAAAATCCAGAACACAGAAAACACATTTCCATGTAAAAAGTGTGGCAGGTAAGAGAACTTAGCTTCCAGCAGTAGTCATGGAATTACAGTAGGGCAGGCTGGAGAGACTGGCAATAATTTTAATGAACCCTACTTAATCTTGCAAATAAGGAGTTTTTACAGTGTTTTTTTTGTTTGTTTTTAACAATTTATGGCTTTGAGATGTCTTTCATACCAGACGTATATTGATATTAAGATACTTCTACTTGGCTAATTACCTTCTGGCCATTCTTCAAATAGCATGAGACACTGCCTGCATTGCAGTGGTGTGTAGTATTTGGATGGCAAGAAAATGAGATCTCCATCTAGTTGTATCACAAGGGCTGTTAACAGATTTTTGCTATGTCTGGGACTTAGCTGATCCTGAAAAGGTATATTGTCACTGTGTCCTCAGAGAGCACATTGTACTGGAAAGGTTAGAGCTGTTAGAAGGCAGATGGGTAAGACTTGACCCTGGCTGCTGGCAGAGAAGGAGCAGGCAAGGGTTCGTAAACCTGTCTTGTGACACTAGATGTCAATTCAAAATAGTTAATGGTGAGCAATAGAGGGATAGATCATGGTAGCGCAGAATTGGGAGGAAAAAGCTCAAAAGTTTCCAGTTGTGTGCATAAGTGTCTGGAATGGCAACTGACCGTTGACTTCCATGTTTATTTTTTTATTTTTTTATTTTTTTGTGGTGTAGGGGGAATGGCTAAAAAGTGGGGCCCTGTTGTATTAAGCAGCCACACGTGAGTTTCAGATGCCAGTGTTGCCTCTGAATTTAGAAAATATATTAAGAAACCAAGTATCTCAAGGATGCTCAGGATCTTCTGCTAATACTTCAACCAGTGCACTGGCACATGCTGAGGCAGAAGTGGTGTTTGCTGTACATGTTTTCTTGCAGTACCAACACGCTGAAGCTCACGAACTTGAGGGTATAGCTATGGAAAGCTCTTTCAGTGAATTAATGGAGGAGAAAGCTGTAAGTGAGACCTATGCTAATGCACCTATATTTCCTCAGGGTGTTCTACAAGGTGAAGAGCCGCAGTGCTCACATGAAGAGCCATGCAGAGCAGGAGAAGAAGGCAGCTGCACTGAAGCAGCAAGAGAGAGAGGCGGCAGCAGCAGCAGCAGAGGCGGCAGCAGCAGCAGCCCACAGCCAGGCCCAGCAGGAAGAGAGCAGTGAGAGTGGGGAAAGCAGCAGTGGAAGCAGCAGTGGGAGCTCGGATGAAGATGGAGAAATATAGCAGTGAGCTAGAAATGGAGAGAGTAGTAAGGCTGGACCTATCACCCTCTCAGTGGTTTCACGATTTTTTTGCTTGTGCTTTTCTGACCTGAACCATCAGGTCTCAGTTTCAGTGCTGCAGCCTCCTTGTGCCACACGTTCCACTTCACCTTGCCAGTACTGACCAAACCAGAGTGGCAGACAAGAAGATTTTTTTCAGCTTGGATTTAAAAAAAAAAAAAATTCTATTCTATTTATAATCATATCTGAGGTACACAATTAAGCAACGTCACCTGCAGTGGAAGTAAGTTCTCTTGGGTCAGTATGACCTCTCTTCTTGTTCTTGTCAGAAATTATGATAACAAGATTCTTGGATATAATGGTTTCCAGACCAGAGTTAGAAAATGGTGCTCTGCTCTGTGGTGACTGTATCCAGTTACTGTGATACTGGTGATTTCTAGATGCTTTCTTTCTTAGCAAGTTATTCTTCCTGTTACACTTTCCTGCCTTTCTAAGCATTTATTCTGGCTGCCAGCAAGTTTTGTGGAAAGATGGTGTGTGGTTTTGGCCTCTGTTTCACAAAAATGCAAAGTGGGATGAGCAAGATATGCTTCCTCATTCTGAGAGGAAGTTTTATTTTTCAACGAACCCTGAGGTGGTTTTCTTTCATGCTATTAAGAACTCAGCAATGGGTGTAAGGTATCCTGAGGGATTTAAGTTGTCACAGGCCTTGTGGGTTTGTCTCCTAGTGGAAAACAAAATAGTTAGCCTTTGATTAACTTCTTGGAAGGTAGTCTGGGTTTCACAAGTGCAATTTGAAATGGAAACTGTTGGGTTTGACTTTGGTTAAAGGGGAGCAAGTTTGTTTTGTGAAAGTGAATATGGACCTTGTCTGCGTGTTAGACTGTGTGCATCCCAGAGATGGGAGGAATGAACTCTCATCTCTATCAAGCTCCTTAAATCTCCCTGTGAATGGCTCTTACCTCTCAGCACATCCACTTATTTCCTGTGGCAGCCTTCATTTATCTTCTGAAACTGTTGCCATTGAGAGCTTATATTTGTGGGGCCCTTGTTTTCCAAATACTTCCTGTCAGACAGTATGTGACTGCATATGCAGGAGGCTTTTCACTTCCACGCAAGTGGCTGGGCAGCCATACCTGCTGTGTTATCCACTGTCGCCCCTTCGGCTGACTGAAATGCTGACTTTTCCTTCACAACTGACATGTGCTAATGGCAAAAAAAAAAAAAAAAAAAAAAGTCTAGCCACCAAAAGCCTGCTGGTAAATGAAAGTTAAGAAGATGCAAAAGGAGTCCTGGTGACATAAACTGCACGGGATTGGTCTGTGCATCTTCATAGCTCACTTCATCATTACTTCATAAAGATGTAGAGAATCAGATCACTTCCTTGCTCTCACAGTCGATCTGTCTCAGCTCCCTGTTCTGGCTCCTTCAGTGCAGTGTGTGGAGGCAGCAATTTCTGGGTGCCAATAGTGCGTTGCATCCCATGCATGCTGCTCTTGTGGTGCACGGCCAAGCAGAGATCTGGGTGGGTTACTGCACATGAAGTGTGCTGATTTTTTTTTTTATGATTTTTTTTTTTATTTTTATTTGGCTCTTCAGGCTGCTAGATGAATTTCGGGTAGTGTATCTACTTGTCAAGTTGCCAATGGAAAACGGATCTGACTCAGCATGCCATCTGGTCCTCTTTTCCTGCTCCAGGTAGTTTTATGCAACCATGGTCATGCTGTCCAAGTCTGGGAGGCTATGTATTGTACCATATTTTCTTGTCATACATATGCCTTTTTATAGACTTAACAGAAACAGTTACTACTCTTAAAACTAGTAGCATTATCATAAGGACTGCACTTTTTTTCCCAGTGTTGACAATTCTGCCCATCTGCATTTGATTTCCTACCAGTGCTGTATTTCCATTCCTAATAAAACCAGATGATCCTGTCAGTATATTGGAATGACTACTGCATGTCCCTGGGTCTTGCTGACAAGACTATGGAAGCAGATGGCATGTCACAAACTATTACAATCCGTTCATAAACTGCAAAGAACTGAAAGCTACTTATCGTTAAAGAGAAGCTTAAGTGTATTGGTCTTCCTATTAAGATTTTCAGTGTTATTATCTTTTTCCTTTTGTAAATTGGAGAAGAAGCTTGTCTGCCGCTATCCTGGGGCCCTCAGTGAGAACTGAAGCTTTAGCACTGGCTGTGCCAGGACAGCCAGTGAAGCAACTGGAACTCACGGTTCACTTCTACTGCTGGGATTAATTCCAGTGTAAAGTGATGATGCAGTTAAAATTCTGAAGTATGTTTCCGGGAAGTTGCCAGTAGTTTCCAGATCCTGAGACCTGCAGGGCAGAGCATCAGCTCAGAAACATGCAGGGCTTCTGGAAAAAAAAAAATTATATATATGTAAGGGGTTTAAAATAATGTAGATGTTGTTGTAATGAATGCATTTCCTGGAGTACTGATCTCAGCTGCAGTATGATGTACAGTTACTTAAAAAATCTGGGAAGTCCTGGAAGGACAGAATGAAGAAATAGAGATAAAGGTGGAAATGGCATGCATTGAGAAACAAGGCAAAAAATGAAGATTGTTGAGGTTGAAGAAGAAGTCTGCCTAAACCTGATAACTAAAATAAGGGTAATGAAACTATTTTAGGAAATGCTTTCACTATCCGTGGTAAAATAAAAATCAACTCTTTAATCCTTTAAAAAACAAAAACAAAAAAAACCAACCAACAACATATTGTTCATATCAGGACAAACCGATGGCTCGCTTCACGTCTTGTTTCAGACAGTGATCAGGAGCAGTTGTTTAGGAAAAAATGAGGGAAAGTGCGGAACAGCAGTGTAGTCCCAGCTAGAAAATGGGGTGATGAACTAGAAGAAGAAATTCATGTCCTCCCAGAAAACAGATGCACAGTTTGTAGTTGTGAGCTGTTCTCTGCACGGACAGGAAGTTCCCACGTGCCTCTGTTTTACCATAGCACTCTGTGTAACACTGCCATTTCTCCCAGTACTTTTAGTTTCTTCAAGTACGCTGGTATAACAATGAGCCAACACTTAGCAGTGGCCCTCAGCAATTTTCAAGGTGACTGTACTTTTAGATACTGCATAGCAAATTACAGTGGCAGATGACTAACAGGTGAAATCCAATGCAAAGATTTAAAGAGTAAATCATGTTATTGCTTTAAGTACCAATGTAATCTTTCTAGACATGATAATGTTTTAAGGCAAGCATTATTACTGTGTTCTAAAAGGGCAGATCTACTGATTCTGTCTGCTTTAGGCAATCAATAAGTTGTTTTGCCTCTTAAGAAGTGTAAGCAATTGAGGTGCTAAGAAAAAATAAGAAATTGTCTTTAATTGCACTGAAACTATGTATTTGTTACACACCAAATGCAGTACTGATGATTTCTCTCCCACTCTGCTGCAGCAGCAGAGAACAGCGAGATGTTACAGAGAGGCCTGTTGATGGAAGAAAATCTGAACAGGGCTTTTTCTGAGGATAGCATGGCTGCTACAAACATGGGTTAGTGGGGCTGACCAAAAGCAGTTAAGTATTACAAGTAAGTGGCAACAAATGTGTTTCCGTATTGCTGGTAGCCACCAGAAAACCTTTTCTGTCATGATAATGAGCGAAAATGTTTCTCTAAGTGTCTTAGTTAAAAACAAGCAGCACAAAACCTGCTGCCCACCTGCTTACAGAAGCAGTTTGGAGAGTACCTGGCATCTGAATTGGATCATGCCAACTAGCAAAGCGTGGCAGAATTGTTTCCAAAAGCAAACAAATACAGAAAATAACTGGGAAAAAAATCCCTTATCTGCTGTAGACAAAGCGTTTGAAGTGAATTTGTCTGATCTGGAATGAATTACAGTATTGTGCGTAGGGGAAAATTACTTAAGTGGCTCTTCACTGCGTTAATTTAAGTGTTGATTTAAGGCTGTGTTATTCCAATTATGATTTAAAAAAAAAATCAGTCTGTTCTGATGTTCTGACAACTTGTCCACTCGAAAGTCCTGTGCAGATTATTTTCTGTTTGAAAGCACTTTCACAGAACTCAATTCTTGCTACTCTTGCTGTTAATCTAGAAAAAAGTGCTGTGCACTCCCAAGTGGAGTTGGAAAAGGAGCATGTCTCTTTGTGTTAGCTGTCCTTTGTCTGGGAACAAATAGAAGATAAGGGCTGCAGCTCTGTAGCTGTGTGCTGATAATTTGTCCCTTACAGTGCAAGGTGAGACTGCAGATTGTCGTACAACTCACAGCGGCTGCTGTATTTCCAAGCCATCGCCCAGCTGGATCTCGATGCCAGCTCCGGGTGTTGTAGAGATGCTGTGAGAGATTGGGCTAGTGGTCACGTTTTGCTCTGGTTGTATGTTTTTTGCCTTTCTGCCTGTGTAGTCTGCCCTTTGCAGATAGATTCATTCAGCCTTTCAGATTTGTGCTCTGCATGGGATAGCATCTCCATTGTATAAGATGGTGTATATATAACTACTAGGTAAAGCATGCACTCGTGATGCATATCTGATACAGCTACAGGTGTTCTGCTATCTGGCTGCAAGAGCAACTCTGCATTTTAATGTATTGGATGTTTTTCCTTAAAATTGGAGCGGCTTAGCTGAATAGGCTGCAGTGCCCTGGAGAACTCACTTCTGTAAGCTGGAGGCCCCAGAACAGCTGCACAGACAGCTAGGCCAGGCAGGATGGCAGCTGCTTTGAAGGCAGGGAAAAGAGAGACATTCTGAAACTTAAAGGTAACCCATCTGTTACTCCCATACTAGTGATGGAATTCATGTAGTCTGGATTAGCCAGCAAAACTTCTCATTTCACAAAGCTGACACTTCACGGTGTTTCTCATATTTGCAGCAAGCTTATCTTGAAGTCATCATCCAAAAAAAGTGTCTCCTAAACCAGAAAGAGCAAGGTCTCCCTCTCTCAGCTGTTATGCACCGCTTAGTTCTCCCTCAAGGAGCGGTCTTGGAAAGTCCCTGTGTATTTGTATCCTATGCTAAACAAAATGTGAGTGGGGAGGACTAGAGCTGTATTTGTCTCATCTGCTTTCATACAAAGGCACTTTTAGTCCAGTGATTACCTCTGCCAGAAACCTGGTTCTCAACCACATTTTCCCAGCAAGCATTCTCTGTTTTATCTTCTAATGTATGTCTGAAAGTTTATAAAGCTTTAAGGAGACAAAGAAGCAGCTTCTACAAACTGTTTGATTTTCACGGGAGTTTCTGTGTAAATTCTTCACTTGGGTTCAGCTGCTTTTCTTGCCCTCGTTCTCTGTGAGGCCAAGTGTTGTGAAGGCAGCCTCTGAGCTTCATCTGAGGAGTTCTCTTCCAGAGAGCAAGATTCCATCAACAGCTGAGCCCGAGAAACACTTAACTTCTTGAGAATCAAAAACAACATATATTTTTATAGAAATGTGTATTTTAAAAATCTGTTTCCTGCAGCTTCTCCATATGTATTTTTCCCCTTGTAGTTCAGATTTGATAAAAACTTTTTTGTTGAGTTCATTCTTTTTACGTTGTTTTTAAATTTGTAGTCGAAGCTTTGGTGTACTGTACAGGAGCAGTCAGCCTTTGTAATTACTGTATAAATGCTTTATAATAAAGTATATTACTTTTATTTTAGCAAGTGAGCAGACACTTCCTTTTGTGTGTTTGCTGCCTATTGGCACCTTTTAAAAGACTGTTACATGTTAAAAATGTAGATATATAAATATATTTACCTGTTGCTGTACAGTTGTGATAGACTGGACTGAATTTATTTTTTGTGTGCTTTTTTTTATAAAATATTAATACACTAAAGGCAATCTTGCTGATGTGATTGTAATGTACTATGTAACTTATTTACTTAATATCCTCTATATATCTAAGAAACCCTTTTATTAAATGAGGTTTAAAAATAGTCTCAGAGGTGAGGGTTTTTTTTGGTGGTGGCTGCCAGGCTCAGGCTGGTGGTTTGTTCACACACAGGAGGCAGCTCTGAGTCCTCTTATGAGTCATCTTAAGCAATTCCGCTCTCTGACTGTATTTCCCTCTGTTTTCCACAGCAATTACCAGGACTGATTCTCAGTATTCTCCTTGAAGATACCTGCCTGTGATGTATTTTAGGTCTTAGGTACAAGAAGGATTCCAGAAAGTATTTGGTGTATATATAGCTCTGTTTGCTTTACAGAAACACTGGTGGTGTGTCCAACCCAAGCAAGCAGTAAATGAAGACAGCTGAATTCTGCTTCTGATGTTACGTAAACAGCTGCAGAGCTGAGGTGGCATGAAGTGAGTTGGTGCTTGAAGGGTGTGTATTACATCTGAACTTCTGAATAGTTGTAGGTGGGACAGAGGGCCGTACATCCAGGCGAAATACATCTGGAACTGCTGGGAAAAGAGGTAATGCTTCTTGCTGTTCAGGAATTAAATTGGCTACATGTAGAAACAACGGTAGGTTGTAACTTAAAACCAGTTGTAATTCATATTTTATCATATTTTTCATTCTTAATGTTTAAATATACATGTTAGTGAATACTCTTTTAAAGGCATGTGCCTGTTACGTGGATCTATATATATATGTTTTTTTAATATAGGTATGGTAACATAGCATTGATCTAGCTTATTTCTCTGGTAGTAGCTGGATTTCTTGCTGTGGGTTTTTAAATATCAATATCCTTCCCTCCATCCTTCCCTCCATCCTCAAAGCAAAGCTTCCTTTGTTTTGGAAGCTGGCTGTTTATGCTGTTTATTCACTCCTTCTAACGTGTAGGCATGAAAGTTTTTAAAAGATGCTACCTTGCAGTGATTGTAGCAATGTGCATTGATAGCTCACTGATCCCCTACAAGCTCTCAGTTAGAAGCTAAGAAGGCATACTCAGTAATTTCTCCTTGTTTTTTTAAGCTGACGAACTTGTATTTCCAGGATGTTGGCAAGGATGACAGGAAAAGGATTTGGTCAAGCAGCATAAGAGCCCCTGCTTCAGCTGACTCCTGCAGCTATGGATGTTGATCAGCAATAGCATGTGAGGAAGTAAGTGGCAGTTATTCAGATGGCAAAGAAAATAACGCACTTGCCTCACTATCACAGCTTATGGGCAAAAGTGTTACAGGCTGACTGCACTGCACTAAAACTGGGCAAACGAAATTTGGATGATGGAAAGTTAACAATGGTAAGTTTAGGGCAGTTTGGTTTTCATCTTTTTAAAATGGGTAGATCCAAGGTTATTTCATCTACTGAGAGAACTTTATAAAGCACTTCAGTGATTTCTGAGCTCAAATGCATTTTGAAGGAGCAACATTATGAGGAATTTTGCAGTAATTCCCTAGACGTTTGTTTTTTCAGTAGGCCTACAGCTATCAGTGCAGGATGATATTCTTATCCCTTTGAGGGTGACTACTGTGGGGTAGAAAGCTTTCTCATTTACATCATTTACATTTTCATGAGTTTTTAAACTACATTTCAGTGGCACTGTTTATTGAAGGCTGAAGTTCCTATTACAGAAGTTCATTAAGCACCAACCTTCTCCTGAGCTGGCTAAATGGAGTTGATTGTGTAATGCTATTCCCAGAGCTTGAATTCAAAGCAAACCTGTGATTTTTGTACTGAAAAAAGACTTACCCTTATTTAATGTACTTGCAATTTTTTTTACCCCAAATAAAAATAGCAGACTTTTCTCTTAGGAACTAACAACAAATCTGACAACCAATGTCTGTATTAAAAGACTGAAAAATATTTATGTATCAGATGACAACAATCACAATTAGATCAACATCTGTAAAGCCTAAATTATTTCCTATCCTAAAATATAGAGGCAATAAGAGACAGCATTTCCATACTATAAATACATTGCTCCCTGAGCAGCTAGGAAAAGTTAATGAGAACAAAAATTAATTTATGAAAATTCACCAGAAGCTGAGCCTATTCCATTACACAATAGCCAAAGACTTTTTTTTATAAAATAGCATTGTTATTTTTAAACAAGTTTCACATAAGTTCATTTATAAACGTAAGCCTAAATAATTTAAACACAGCAACTTTAACAGTTTGGTCATGCTACAAAATTACAGTATACAAAATGTCATCAAAAGTAGATGTTAAAAAGTGCTTTCTTGCTTGAAGATTTTCCTAGATGGATCTACTTCTCTTGTAATTTGAATCAGCTGCTGGTTCTTGGGTCTCTTCTCACATTTTTCCAGCCATTTGAAAGATAACCACTGCAAACATCATCTCTTTGAAGAGAGGTCTGTGCTAACAAGCAAGTAAAATACCTATTTTCTATCTCTAATTTAATTGTAGGATATTTCTCTATATAATTAAGTGGATGCTAATCCTCCATAATTTCTGTGGGAAAAGCAGAATTCCACATGGCTTGCAAGTTTTACATGGGTGCTCTTCTCATCCATGAATAATAATGTGCTTAGGACATCATTAGATGTGGTGAGATGTGGGGGCACAAAGAATAATACAGGAAGAATTCTTTCAGCATCCAACTGCTGCTCAGCTGCTCCCCTGGGCACACAGTCTCATCTCTGATAGTGTATCTGTGATGCAGTGCAGCTCCATCTGCATTGCAAATCGGTTGCTTAAATTCTATCATCTGTATCTTCTACCACATCCAGTGCATAAATTTTAAAGTGCAAATTTTAGAAATTGATTGAAACTTAATTTATTTGGGGCTAGTAAAGTCCATGGGATTTTGATTTGTGCTAGGCAGTAACCCACAATTCATCACATATAACATTAAGCTAAAACTTAGAAAAGGGTTAACTTACATGCAAAGGTTCTGCAGTATGCAGGAGGGTGAAAGGCAAAGGAAAAGCTTCTAAGTTTACCTTGCTGCTGCTACAGTTGTGCTGAGACTGGATGCCCTGTTCCTTTCAGTAACGATTGCTTTGATTTTCATATTTTTAACGTAGTTGCAAAAAAAAGAGAACTTGTGCTGTTAATTTGTGAAAAGAGCTGATGCCAACAGGCATATGCTGTACCCAGCTCTACCAACGAACAACTGCAATAGTTATTGCTGGACTGATTAATGTTAATTAATCCGTGGAGCCTCAACTTGTCAGTTACAAGAGCCAGGAACCTCTTGGAGGTTCCTCAAGCCTTGGCAACGGAACTATCTCCACCTAGAAAGCTAAAATTCTATTCTGCTCTCAGATTGTCCCACAATAGTCAGAGTCTTTGCTGTATCTAACGCTGCCTTTGTAAATGTACAGAGTTAGACCATATTTAGATATTACAAAATTAACCAGTAGGATTATGTAGCACTGGACAACATTCTCATCTCTGTCCTGTTTCTTCTGAGGAGCTAATTAATTTATTTAATTAATTAAAGCGATACGTACCGTAACTGCACACATTGGTTTTTGAAGGTGCAGGGATTTAAATGCATTGCCTCTTGGCCAGAATCCATGCATATATTCTGCATATTCTATCCTGAAAACAGCTGCACACACATCTGAAATTGGCTTCTCTATTTGTTGCTAACATTTGAAGTTCTCACTATAAGCACACTTTAATCACTTCATGCAAGGGCCCAAGCCTATTCCCTGTTGCTCTTCCACAAAAGCTGAGGTCAGTGAAGACCATGTGTGCCCATAAGCTAGGTGCTCCTTCAAATCACATCCACTTTTCCAAAGCTGATTGACTGCAAGTGAACTGAGTTGGTTTTAAGAGGCCAACGTGAAATGGTTGTTTGCTGTATAATACTCCCTCCCTGCGTGCTTCTTAATCAGTGCTGCCTTTCCTAACGAGAAAGCATAACACTAGAAGGAATTACAAGAGACTACAAAATCTGTAAAATAAATCCAGCTTCGGCCATTGTTCTTCTGACCTTATTTTAAGAAATGGATCTAAATGAAACTCGAGACTTATTTGCATCTGCCAGTTTAAGTTGGAATGCTTAAGCATTTCTCTAAAAATCACAGAATAACAAGAAAGAATATATTGAAACTAGGCTCTGCTTTCCTTGTAATCTTCACGCCTTTTACTTATCTATTGATGAGCAATAGAATTATCTTCTACTAAAATTACACCTGGAGCTTGAGATCAGTATCACTGTCGCCTGGGTCCCTTCCACCCCTTTATCCCTGCCCATGACTTTCCAGGATATCAACCCCTGCCACTCTTTCACAAACAAAAGTGGTGTTCTGAATTTCGTCCCTTACATGTCTGCTCTAAAACCTGCAAGCACACTTTTCTAGTTTAAACAAAGATAATGCACTGAATTAGAAGAAAAACTTAATAAAAACAAGCTGCCAAAAAATCCACTTAGCTGAGTTCATCTATTTTCTAAAGGAAGTAAAGAGGAGGGAACATTTTTTGCATCCAACAGTGCAATTATGTCTGTCTTTAGCATTACATAATGCTTTTCACTAAAAATAGTTACCTGCCCTATAAGGAGGTTCACTAAAACGGTTAACGTGCAACAGAGCATGTTTAGTACATCTTCAATACTTATTTTCCAATACCCATTTCCCACCTTGTCTCACCTTCCTCAGTAACCACGTACACATTTCACTCATCTGTGCTTTAGAAAAAAAATTAGTATCCCAAACCCAACATTTTACATCTCAAGCCCAGGTCTCTTGTTCACTGTTTGTTTCTGAGTTTGTTTCTGAGCCCACTTACAGTTACACGAAAATTCCAGAGCTGAGAAGGATTACGTCCATCAATGAGCCAAAACCAGACTGGGAACAGGAACCAGCTGTAGGCCAATAGTCTACTTATTCCAATCAAAATAATTTATGAAAAAGAGAAAAAAAGATACTTTAGTCTCACTGAAACCATGCAAAGAATTCCCATTGCCTCTTTAAAATAAATAACATCATATAAGTTATACATGGCCTTCTAAGCAATGAAGTTAAGAGTTCCAATGCAAGAAGCCCAATTCAAAACTTGCAGTCCATAACAAGAGATCATGTGCCCATTACCTTTCTTGTGCGTATGTCCACAACTTCTGGGCCTATTTGGCATAATACTTCAGGGGATGAAAAGGCAAATTCACATACTTAAAATATTAAGGGATTCCCATAACAGGATTAAACACAACAAAGTCTATAACATAGTTCTAAAATGTAACAATGGTGTTTCAACTGAATGTTGGCGAGCTGCATCTAACAAGCTAAAATTGCTCTGTTGTAACACAAGAGCAAACAATAAGCACCACTAGTCAGGAATTAGGAATAGCTAGGTATTAGCTCAGGTAAAGATCTCTCACTAACCAAACAAAAGATGAACTCAACTCCACTGGTCTCTGCAGAAGGTGTCAGAAGCTTGACGAAACTGGTGTGCCTGAAGTTTGGTAAATAACTCTTTGGGTAAGAGACTGTGGAGATAAGCTGGTCTTATAAAACTTGCCCAAAGCTTTTCTTCAAAACAAACATTTATACAAAAGTTCTATGTGCTGAGCAATCTGGAGATATTTAAATTATTAAACAACCAACGCAAAAGTCTCATCAGTTTCCTCCTTCTTCTTCTTCTTCTTGCTTAATAACAAGGGTACCTACAAGGAAAAAAAAAAGAAAAGAGAAGATCTACAGCTTTATGAAGAGATTATGCAGAGAAAGGTACAGTTAATGGTGATGTGCTTGAAAGCTAATCTGGACTATCAAAACTAGGAAAGAGTCAGGCTGTCAGAAAGAGGAAATAATTCTATTTCCTGCTGCCGTCCAACTCCTGGCTCCACACAGGACCACCCTAAAATCAGAACGTGTCTGAGAGTGTTGATGCTTTGCATTTCTTTGATCTCTGGCAAGCTCAGTGCCATGGCCACTTCTCTGGGGAATTTAGTGACGTGCTAAAACTATTTGGCTGGTTAATTTCAAGAGTAAAGCCCAGCCTGTGGGCTGCACACCACGTGGACAACTTTTCAGAAGATCCTGCAGCTGGTGCAGGATTGCACAGATGAGGTTTTGAGGTTACAATTTATTTCCCTGATCTTTCTACTACGCTTGTCACTTCTTGTCACTTAGGTCAGTTGCCTCGTGCCCCAAACTTACCATCCAGCTTTTTCAGCTTGGGCAGCCGTTTGGTTGCTTCTTCAATCCAGTTGTTCTTCTGATCAGAGGCGTATTTCTCTTGCAGTGGATTGCCTACAAACACCAGATCCTCTAATAATGGCAGCTCTGCCAGTCTCGCAAACTCTGCTGCAACCACAAATATGAAAACAGTAACCAGATTATGAGCAAGGAAAGGACATCTGCACCAAACCTTCCTTTCAAACTCCACGCACACATAAATAGCTTGGGATACAAACAGATAGGGATCATTTGGACTTGAACTGGGAACAGGTTAAGGAACAAGTACACATTTCAAAAGAAGTCCAAGCAAAGCGATTCAAAGAACAAACTCCATTGGGCTTAGAGTTTAAATTCAATTTCCTATTTTTAATTTCTTGCATGAATTATTTAGGGATTCTGTGTACTTCTGCAGGCTTGTCAGTAAAACTTAAGCCCCAGGACATGGAGAGCTATTTTTTATCTTGCTTATTCATGCATTCACCATAATTTGTAGGAAGCTGCACAATAGACTGGAATGGCTTACCCCAGTCTTTCACCAAATTATTGGACATGTAAAGAACCTTCAGCTTCTTCATTACACGGATACCCCTCAGTTTCTCAATGAAGTTGTATGAAATCCACAGCTCTTCTAGCGTATCTCCAACTGCTTCCTGGAAAATGACAGAGCTAATCAGGTAAGTGAAAGTAAGTCCTCAATCTTCAGACTCCCTTTTCTTCACCCCTGCAGGTCACCTCATGTAAGAAAACACTAAGATCTACTGGTCTTCATTTCCTTTTAAGCAGGTTTCTAGTGAAGTATTACAAATACTCAGGGGAACAAGAGCAAAGGATATGAAATATATTTAGGATGTCAAAAATCACAGTATTAGAATAAGAGAAGGAACAGCAGTTGTTCTTAAGGCATAGGGACAGAGGAGACAAATGTGGCCGTTTGTGCACACAGGGGCTGCTATTCAGCAACTCTTTCATTGGGGTTTTTATGCAGTACTAGGGAATGGTCTGTCTCAAGTGCACGTGTACTTTGGTCGTGTAGGACAGAAGTTGCTTTTATAACTCCCTCAAAAAGAGTGTTTTTATAAACCAGTTTTTATAAATTTATTTCATTTTATGCTTAAGAGATAACGGCACCTCTAGAGGTGGCAATAGTTTTAAGCTGGAATATTCTGCAGGAGAAACACACAATACCTGAGAAGGAAGGAAATAATATCAGTACTCATTTTTAACAAAGTTAATTGAAAAAATATTCTGCCTTAATAGAGATATAATACAAATATAATAAAACTAATCCCATTTTTTCCCCAAGTATTCTTCCTGTGCCCAGTAGATTCAGTCCCTCCACGATCTTTTCCGCAAAAGCAAACAAACAAACAGACAAAAACTATCTGAATTTTCAGAAATCATAGGAAAGAGAGTAAACATACCATTGTGCCAGAATAAAATCAAAACTTAGGGAATACAATTCAGCCAAGACTTATAAACATGGGGCAATTATCCCACATCCTGGATAGCGCTCCACTCGGTTAGTAAGGAGTTAAGATTAAGATGCACATACCAATCCATTCAAGTTCTTAATATTATTTCTTCCCAAAGACAAAATCCTCAAATTTTCTGAAATAGATAACAGAAAGTTTCTCATTCATAAGTGATTTCTTAAGCATAAGAAGATGTTATAATTCAGGTAAAACTCCATACTCCTAAAAAACCTACATTCCAAAGATTGTCTTAAGAAAGAATGACACAACAGAAATAAAAACTGACGATGACTGGGAGTTGATGCAGAGGATAACACAGAAATGTGCTCACAAGTACAGAGTTGTTCATTTGTAGGTTACCTACTGAAATTCAGTCCACATAAATACTGAAAAAAAACTAGAATTTCATCCTACACCTGAGCTCTGTTGGCTTCCTAGCAATGATTTCAAATAGTTCTTACCCTTTCTTTTACAGGTTAAAAAATAAAATTGTTCTAATCTCATTTTAATGCTGTATAGAGGTAGCATAGAAAGCTGTCAGACTGAAGTCTGATAAGAAATATTTCAGCTTAATTTAGAACCCTGACAAATAAGCTTCTGAAGTGAGCTACTGTTGCTGGAGGTCGGTGTAATATGAGTGTAACTCAGATCTATGACAAAATAGCAGTCTTTCCAGAAAACTCCTTTTCAGTATTCACATAAGCTTTCTTGCAGGTATTAACAAGCAAATAACTAATAACTACAATAACTAACGGTGAGACTAATGAATGTCCCAGTCCAGTAGCAACAGGCTGCAGAGATAACAATGTAGTGCCTGGAGATTGCTACAGATAAAGATTTGAGATCTAAAACAGGTAGTTGTATGTTCTGTCTCCAGGAATGCAGGGATGAAACCACAACTGGCAGATGTTCTAAAACAGAAAAACTAGTTAGAAAATAGTTAGAAAATAGTTAGAATAAAAATAGTTAGAAACTAGTTAGAAACTAGTTAGAAAAAATATGAGGCACAATCAGAATTCTTTTTCTCTTTAAATGCAACAGCTTAACACATGGCCATGGCTCAAAATATGAAAACTCATCATCAGTCACAGTCTAAAGTCAGCTACAGCTAATATTCTCCAGACTATCCCTACAGTTCCCCATCCACAGGAGAGAGACGATCCGGCTTCTCTCATTCTCTCTGTACCACATGTTTAGAAAGTACAAGCCTGCACTAGCTTTAGAAATTCCTAAGAGGTGAGAGGATAGTGACAAACACAAAAATGAAAGACTGCAGAAAACATCACACTTTCAAGTCATTTCTAACTGCCATTATTGTTCTTTAGTGCTCCTCTTCTGAGATATTAAATATTTTAGAAGCAGTAAGAAGTTCCTCAAGAAATATTTTCACACAATTGAACAGAAATGTAACACTTGCTGCTATCATTTAAATCCTCCTCACGTGCATGGACGCTGAGGTGTGGTGCTTTGCACAGAATTGCCTACTCAGCATGATGACAATATCACTACGCACACTAATATTAATCTTTTCTATCTGAAAACAGTGCTGGACGCTTAAGAGGATTTCTCAGTGTCCTCTTTGCAATGAACAAAAGCAAACACGTAATAATTACTTGATGGTTTTTCATTGCTGTAAGCATCGATTTCTCTCGAGGAAGGCAATAATAACTGTGAGCTCCTCCCATTCTGTACCTTACAGACCGGGAAGTTCCATTTTGCCTCGCCTCCAGATTCCATCCCAGCCCCCAACACTCTGACCTCAGCAACAGACTATGCCACAATTATTACGCTGTTCAACTGCAGACTCTCTCCAACATCAATGTGGAAATTAGTTGTTAAATCACTCTAGAATCAATTACTGTTGAATATCATAACTCAGTCCCACTGGAGACTACATAGCTACTTCTGCATGGATTTTTTTTACGAAGCTTGCACAGCAAAACAACTGCCCAGACTGCACAGAGACACATGCATTAGTATGCTTTTACTGCTACACATGCATTCTTCAGGAAGACTGATAATTTTAAAGTCAGCTGCAACCTTCTAAGAGGAAGAAGTTAAAAAGGATAAGAAAAGGTATAAAGCTAGACACACATTACAAATTGTAGTATATTTCCTATCCACAACTAGAAAACAATTATAATCACTGGTTTGTCACTTACTTAGGCTGCTCAAGTTGGCAATTCTTTCAATGCAGTTTGTAGACAATGAAAGCTTCCTTTAAAAGCAAGAACAATCAACTCTCAGAACAAAAGGAATCACTATATTAGAAGAGTTCCACATCTAAACACCACTGCGCTAGACATATCTGTCTATTCTTATCTCAAGCATCATGATTTCTGTGACTTTGTTTAGCTTCTAGGAAAGTACCACACGTTCCTAACTTCACATACAGGATGACCTTTGTAAGCACAGCCTTAGCAAGTGCACAGAAACTTAGTTCTGAGGCAGTTCTAATTTCTTTTGGAAAGCCCTGACTCTGTCTCTTTTTTTCCTCTGTCTTATCGCCTACACAGACAACACTACATTTTTCTCAGCTAAACAGCAGCTGAACTGACTTGGTACCTAGAGCTAATTAGATAACCTGCATGCCACTACATGTTGCCATTTGGGCACATTAACCAAATTAGTACAAATAGAAGAGAATGCTTGGTTTCCAATTTGTCTTTAGATTAACTTACTCGCAGTTAACAAGAGTGGAGAGAGATTCATCCATCTTCTCTACAGGAGGAATCTGGCCATACAGTTTCACTTCTTTTGCCTCTGAAGCCTTCTGGCCATTTTTTTCTTCCTAAGGAAAAGAGAAGGTAAAGAATATGCTCACTGCACAAAATCTCTAAGAACTGTTGTACTTCAACATTCCTATGAAAGTAATTACTACAGAGGTAATTCCAATATGTTAATAAAAGAAATTACTGAAAAGAGAAGGCATTTTTAATACTGTGCTTCAAGAGCCCTGCTAGTGCAGTATGAAGAGTGGAAGAGCAGCTTAGTTCCAACATACTAAAAGCACATATACATTAAATACCCTTTTTTTTTTCTTTTTTTTTTTTTTTTTAAATTGGAGTTACATTTAATCAAATTAATTCAGGTGTCCTCTACTGACAAGAAATTGAGAATAACTGGAGGTCTGAAACTCTGAATCACGGCGAAGACTGACATGTGGGAGCCAGAAGCTCACGTAGCAGAAACACATTCTTAAAATCTCTGACAGAAATCTCCTTTCCTCTTCGCTCAGAAAACTCAGAACTCACACCCATCTCGCAGCACAAACTGAGAAGGCAGGGAAGTGCATTCTGGGCGGAAATCTCAACAGCACTTTCCTCAGATCTTCCCTCAGCTTTAACCATTTTTATAGCTCCCATGTATTCCTCCTCCTGAAATGGGAGCTGTGACTGCTGCTCCCCTGAGGTGGCGCTAGCGCTCAGCCTCAAGCCCGTAACTCAGCTCTACCTCCTACAGAACACACATGAAAAGAGAAACTGATTACACTCTTCCAAAAAAAGGAAGAAAACAAAACAACAACAAACAGTGTAGGACAGAAAGGAGAGAGCTCTGAGTCTGGACTGATAATATTCCACCTTTGAATCAAAGGCCAATTAGAAATAAGAGAAATTGCAGTGTAAAGTAATAAATCCTGATAGTTCACAGAATTCTCTAAACAAACAAAAAAATCCCTTCTAGTTAGTCATTAGAAAGGAGTGGTAGATTTCACGCTTCAGAGAGTACATTAGAAGACAGATTTTCTATTTACAACTAAAGTTGGTGACTTTCTTAAATTAAGATTAGATTAAATACAGAGTTCAGAGATTTGGAAGAATTGCCGTAACTGCAGCATTTGGGTGTGTTTATTAAAAAAATACACCCTGTGAAATCTTTTAAAATTCCAAAGTGATGGTAATTATCCACTCAAGACTTGGAGCGAGTATCTTTTCCAGCAGTAACACCAGTTGTGACAGCTGCTTCCCTGACAGCACAAAGGGAACGTTCTGTCGATTCACTCGGCGCTCAGTGGGAAGACTGGAGCTCTGTTAACAAAGGAGAAATCTGTTCTGTTTTCAAAACAAGGAGTCTTGTTTTCTCCCCCATTTTTATGCAGCTAATGAAAAGTGAGAGAGCTGAGGTCGGTTTTATATCTTTACTTGAGAAGAAAATGAATTGCTTCCCAGAAACATGTAAGAATAGCACAGCACACAAGATCAGACATCATTTTGTCTTACGTGCCTAAAATACTTCAGGCAACTTAATTTAATAGAGCATTATTATGTTGCCATGTTTCACTAAAAATTCCAACCTCTGTCCAAATTCAGTACGATAGGATTTTTATTCATAATTAGCAATTTAGTAAACAAGTGCGCCACACGCTTTTCTAGAATATGGTGAACTGCTCAAACTGAGTCACTACACAAACTTGAAACTTCAATTTCCTTTGCTAACGACAAGGACAACCGTGTATCTATCTGCATTTAGCCTTGGCTTATAATCTTATAGTCACCTTAAACCAACAGACAAAATTACATTATCTCTTAAAACAGGACAGAGAGGGAGCCCCTAACATGGCCTGTGGTGGAGAGTGTGCAGCTGAAGAAAGAAGATTCTTCCAGGCTGCAACCCACCTCTGAAACAAACCTCAGGTGGAATACCACCATAAGCACTGAGAAACCACAGGTAGAAGAGCACTTTTTTTAAGCACAGGCTACCTGGTTGCCAACTTGAAGTTGCTTTGATTTAATTCATTTCATTCTGACTGTAGAACACAGGTAAACCATTATGCCAAAGGGAAGAAATACATCTGGAATGCAACACAACAGCAGATCCAATGTTATAAATCACACGGACACACATTAGTAGCAGGACGGAAAATTTTCCTCCTCCAAAACAACATGAACAGGACAGCACACTCAGCACTTTGTAGTAAACATAAATGGAAACTCGCTGACATGGATCTACTGCTTCTGAGAGACACATGACAAAGGAGCAAATGTGAAATAAATCTTTAACAGAAAACATGAAGTTCAGGTTTTGGAGGGCAGAAAGAGTGAGAAAGGAAAAGGAAAAGCACTTTAAAAAAAACCTCAGCTCATATCTCTAGCAATAGAAACATCTGTAAGCTGTTGTGTTCTCACCAAGGGAGCAAGAGTGAAGTTTGTGGGTGAAAATAAAAATAAATGTGAAAGACTGAAGGTACTAAATGATGACTGTATTAAAACAGTACTTTAAAAACAAGAAGCTCAGCTTTGCACAGTGCACAATGTGAGGGACAGCACTACCTGCCAATACAGAAGGTTCACTGACTTCAGTACAGTCAGTATTTCATACTTGTTCACCCTGTGGGAAGAACTGTACTCAGGTAAAATGAACAGGGCATAATGCAACATACAGCATCTCCAACTTTAAATTTCTTTGTAGCCTCAGGCCTTCTATCAATGCATATTCAGCAGAATACAGTGAGAGAGCAAAACAGGCTCATCTTTACAGACATATCAATTTAGCAAGACCACACAGAAAATCCAACAGAACTGATTATTATTCGATAATAGGAATAGAATTTTTACTCTGTGAAACTTCTAGCAAACATTTGTTAAAGTAAGCCTGAAAAAAAAGAAAATTAAATATAGTAAAAATCCATGCCACTGAGTACTGCAAAGCAGCTAGATACTCCTTTATTACTTACCCATTTGGCTAGAGCTTCTTTGATAGTTGTTGCTTTTGCCTAAAACAAACAAATTAAAATTAATGTTCATTGCAAATTTTCAACTGGCTTCTTCACTTCTCCCCTTTTTCTTTTCCTGTCCTGCTTTTCTCCTCTCTTCCACCACTTCCCTGCAGGATCTTCCTCTAGCTGATGCTCAGAAGCTACGACTCCTAGAGTGGCTCTTCATTTTATTCTGGGGAACTCGGAAGCACTTTCAGAAGTAATAAGCTGGACTTCTGAGAGCACATTATTCTACTGACTTTATTCGCTTGCCATCTTGGAGCATAATCTGGGCACTGTCACCTCTGACAGTGAAATTCAACTGAATTCAAAGCCATTAGAAATTACTGCACTGAAAAATGTGGTCTGACACTCTTATGAAAACACACTATCACTGTGCATTAGTAATCTCCTGCCGGTCTGTGAATAGCCAGAATGATAAAGCCTGTTAGAATTCACTGGGGAAAAGAAGATAACTCTTACCAAAAAATTAAGAGCAATCTGAAATGTGTATATTTCTTTTTTTTCTAACAATTTTGTCATCAAATCACGTAACATGAACACATACGTTATCAGTTAAAAACAATCTGAGTGCTCCTGTAGGAGGCTCTTCAAGGTTTGACTCACTGAGCAAACATTTAGGTGCCACTAACTTTCAACTTTTCTGCCTCCCATCAGTCCCATTACAACCAGATGGCAATATCCATAACAGTAGTATGAAGAGAAACTGATACATCCTGAACACATTCAAAGACATTTTTCAAGTTAAAAAGGCTCCAGAGACTGACATCCCACCAGCACTGACCAACAGCCTCCTTCCTAGCAAGCCAGTGTAGCACAACCACACATGGCAGCTTTTCTGGTCATCAGATCCCATCGAAAATGGGAGAGGGAAGGAAAAAAGGAAAAAAAAAAAGAAAAAGAAACATAACTAAGAAACTACTGCCAAAAATCTCAGGGGAATTCACCTCAGGTCACAGAGCTTTAATTCCAGATACTTTAGACCACTGAAAGTTCTGGACTCAGTGGTAAAAGACCCATGATAACTGCCAAGAGAACAGCTACAGGCACAGAATGCCCAGCGACACTTATACTCATCCAGACCAAGGACTTTGAGCTTCATCTTGTCTGTCCCACACAGCAGCCAGCTCCAGGCCCGGCTGCAGACAGGGGGTGAACTTCTGCCACAACACAGCCTCCTTGGAGCCTGCTGCAAGCCAACCCAAGTGATCACCTCCTGCTCGGAACACAACCCCAGCTCCCGCTTCAGCAGTCTTCCTGAGACTCCAATTAGCAGCCATAGCAGTGTGACAGCTAAGCCAAGTGGCTTCTAGTTGTTTCTTTTTTCAGATGGGAAGTTTCCAGCACTTTTCCACAGTTCTGCTAGCTGACTGTTGTACTATTTGAGGCCATGACCTCAGTCCCTCACAGAGCCTCCTGCTGTCCCAGCTCCAAGCATAAAACCAGACCAGATTTAAAGCGGAGAACCAGGTGCACACAGAAACAATCAGCACAGGCTTATCAAGAGAACGTGCGCCAATGACTATGTTTTGCTCTTTGAAGCGCACTGGAAATTTCTCTACATAAGCAGCCTCCTGTGGCAGAAGGCACTATGGCTGATGGGGAAGCCTCCCTCGGAAGGCTGCTTTCGGAGTCCCCAGATGGATACCAAACAACCTGCTGCAGGGATGGAGGCAAAAGAAAGTCACACAGCCTCAAGAGCCATCAGAGGCTGAAGCGGCCACCTGAGACACCGCCATCACGGCTCCAGGAACAAGAAATATAACATCTTAGCAGAAAACAAATGTATTTAAGCTATAATGATTGAAATATTCTTCTTCCCAGAAAGAGGTCTTTTGAGCACGGGGCGTACCGACACCGAGCTTTTACAAACTTCGGTCCCGCCAAGACACCGGCGAGGCTCTGCCTTCGCTTGCATCCATTTATCGGCAGTCAGGAGCGGGTCGGAGCCGCCCGGCAGGAGAAAGCAGGCCCGTCCGTGCGGCACCGCAGACGCCGCCGCCCCGCAGCCGAGCGCCGGGAGCACCTCTCACGCGGCGGCACCGCAGCATCCGCGGGCGGGATTCCTCCGCTCCCGCCGCCGCGAGCCGCCCGGAGCCCCGCTTCCCCGGGCACGGCGAGGCCGCACCGCCTGTCCCACGCGAGCACCGCTTGGGGACGGCGCTGAGGGACCGCCACCGCCCTGCCTCGCTCGCTCTCGGCCCGGAGCGGGGCCCCCCGCCGCCGCCTCTCGAGGACGCCCCAGCACATTCTCCCCGAGCCGCCGGCCTTCCCCGCGCGCGCGGCCCTCCCCCTCCCGCCCGGCTCTGACGGGACCCACCATCGCCGTCGCTACCGTCGACGCTCCGGTTGCTATGGCACGGCCGTCTCCCGCGCATGCGTGGCGCCGCGGACGCGTCGAGGCCGAGGGGCCGAGCAAGAAGGAGGCCGCGCCTGGCGACCGCGGAGCTCCGCCGCCGCGCGCGGGCCCGGCCCGGAAGTCGCGTAGGGGGCGCTCCGCGACGCATTGTGGGACGCGGCGCAGGGGCTGCCGCGGTCCTCAAGCCCGGCCCGGCGGCTGCGTTCTGCCCCGTCCCGGCTCCGGTACCGACAACAGAAAGGCCACGCCCCGCCTCCGTCGCCGTGCGCTTTTTATTGAATTAAAATCGCTCGGTGAAAGTTACGGCGGTTGGCGGAGGACGACCCTTGCCCGGGCCGCCCCTCACGGGGCCGGCGCCCCCCGGCTGCTGCCCGCGCTCCTTCAGCCCTAAAGCGGGTCCGGATCCCCACGTTGCCTTCGTGCGGCTCCTCCTCGCCCGGCTCATCAGGTGAATCCAGCCATCGTAGAAACGCTACGGGACGTCTGCCGTGGAAGGCGTGCAAACGATGTAAGTGATACTTGGGCCGGGCACCCAGCTTAGCTTTCCTTCGCTTCGGGCAGTGGCTGCGCCTGTCTTTGCGGTGTCTGTAAGGTAGTTTTGGTCTCCCAGCAGCGATGTGAAATACAAAACACTAGTACAAAAACTGGTCGGTTTCCTACAAGCCATCTAGTGAATGTTTATGTTCAGAAGCATCCTGACCTGTCCACCAAAGTATCTCCACAGTAAAATAATAACATTTTATTTAAACAAGGGAGGAGAAATAAAGATACCTCATTGCCAAACAAATGAGCTACTCAAAACACAGTATCTAATTCTCACACTGCCTTGCTTTTAAATAAGTACTTTACTTGTCTTTAAATCGCAGGTACCTGATGATATCTAATATTGAATTACTTTAAGGGTTTGATCTTTTAAAACAAAGTTTGGAGACTTTTAAGCTACCTGTCATGGTTTGGGTTTATTTTTGTCCGTCTCATTTCCGAGTCTCCAGCTTGCAGTGCTGCACAGCAACTGATGTACCGTGATCAGACTGCAGTACGGAGACAGGTATCAGTCCTGAGCGGGTCACGAGTGTTAAGGCAGGTCATTTGTACTGGCAAGGACAGACAGAACAAGAAACCTATATGCAACCGTTTTCTCAATAGCTACAACTTGGAAGAAAGGAAGGGCAGTAAGGATGAGCAGTGCCTCAAGGTGCACATCACAGCAGGATGTGCTGTGGAACTCCTGGGGCAGCTAGGATGAGTGGAGGTCCGAGCATCAGATAAGGCTCTGCAAAGGCTCTTCAGCCAGAGAGTTGAGGAAGGCTGGGTGTGAGGACATCTTCGCTGGAGTTAAGTGGATGAAGTTTATCTTGTAAGGAGTGTATGGTTAAATAACTGGCAGTGATGGTGTGTGGAGAACAAGTGACTTAACTCAAATGATAAGGAGTAATATGAGCTGCAGAAAGCTAATCAGGCCTGAACATAATGATAGTCAACTGGAGAGAAAAGATCCCTGAGAGCAGAGCGAAAGTCACTATCGTTTATGACGGTTTTGTTTCTTTTTGGGCAGCTCTGAAACAGGTCTGACTTGGAAGGAGAATTCTATCAGTTGAAGCCCCTATTAAAAAGGCCTTCAGCATTGGCAAGACCCTCATCACAGACAAGAGTCATTTGGGAAGAAATTGTTTCTTTCTACCTAAATGGTAGAGAACAATAAGATACTAGGATTAATTAGTATGAAAAACAATCTCAGGCAGCCTGGGTCAGAAGATCGCAGATTACCCTTTTCTTTAGTATTATTTTGTATTATGATCATTACTGCAAGAGGACAGCTTTTTACAACCTGTCTCACAGTCTTCTACTTGCCAGCTCTTCTGTCTCTCACCTTCCTTCCTAATAACAGCTGTCAGCATCTGTTGACATCATTAACGAAGAGTTCCACACGTAATTAAACTCTAGCTTAATAGCAAGTGTTAATTATTTAAAACAAGTAATGAGAGAAGCAAGATTTGCAGATGGTAATAACTGCATTTAACTGTGCTATGCAACAGAATATCGATACTCCCAAGACTCAACTGCCCACCTAAGGCATTACAGGAACAGATGGTTACATCCCCAATTCAGGACACCAC